GGGAAGCAGCCGCATAGCACAGGGAGATCAGCTCGGTGCTTTGTGACCGCCTGGAGGGGTGGGATAGGGAGGGTGGGAGGGAGGGAGACGCAAGCAGGAAGAGATATGGGAATATATGTATATATATAACTGATTCATTTTGTTGTGAAGCTGAAACTAACATACCATTGTAAAGCAAGTATACTGCAATAAAGATGTTAAAAAAAAAAAAACCTTTACAGACAAGCAAAAGCTAAGAGAATTCAGCACCACCAAACCAGCTTTACAACAAAAGCTAAAGGAACTTCTCTAGGCAGGAAACACAAGAGAAGGAAAAAACCTACAATAACAAACCCAAAACAATTAAGAAAATGGTAACAGGAACATACATATTGATAATTACCTTAAATATAAATGGATTAAATGCTCCAACCAAAAGACACAGACTGGCTGAATGGATACAAAAACAAGACCTGTATATATGCTGTCTACAAGAGACCCACTTCAGACCTAGGGACTCATACAGACTAAAAGTGAGGGAAAAAGATATTCCATGCAAATGGAAATCAAAATAAAGCTGGAGTAGCAATTCTCATATTAGACAAAATAGACTTTAAAACAAAGACTATTAGAAGAGACAAAGAACGACACTACATAATGATCAAGGGATCAATCCAAGAAGAAGATATAACAATTGTAAATATTTATGCACCCAACATAGGAGCACCTCAGTACATAAGGCAGATACTAACAGTCATAAAAGGGGAAATCGACAGTAACACAGTCATAGTAGCGGACTTTAACACCCCAATTTCACCAATGGACAGCTCATTCAAAGTGAAAATAAATAAGGAAACACAAGCTTTAAATGATACAATAAACAAGATGGACTTAACTGCTATTTATAGGACATTCCATGCAAAAACAACAGAATACACTTTCTTCTCAAGTGCTCATGGAACATTCTCCGAGACAGATCATATCTTGGGTCACAAATCAAGCCTTGGTAAATTTAAGAAAATTGAAATTGTATCAATATCTTCTCCAACCACAACACTATGAGACTAGGTATCGATTACAGGAAAAAATCTGTAAGAAATACAAACACATGGAGGCTAAACAATACACTACTTAATAATCAAGAGATCACTGAAGAACTCAAAGAGGAAATCAAAAAATACCTAGAAACAAATGACAAAGAAAACACGATGACCCAAAACCTATGGGATGCAGCAAAAGCAGTTCTAAGAGGGAAGTTTATAGCAATACAATCCTACCTCAAGAAACAAGAAATATCTCAATTAAACAACCTAACCTTACACCTAAAGCAATTCGAGAAAGAAGAACCAAAAAACCCCAAAGTTAGCAGAAGAAAAGAAATCATAAAGATCAGATCAGAAATAAATGAAAAAGAAATGAAAGAAACAATAGCAAAGATCAATAAAACTCAAAGCTGGTTCTTTGAGAAGATACACAAAATTGATAAACCATTAGCCAGACTCATCAAGAAAAAAAGAGAGAAGACTCAAATCAGCAGAATTAGAAATGAAAACGGAGAAGTAACAACGGACACTGTAGAAATACAAAGGATCATGAGAGATTACTACAAGGAACTATATGTCAATAGAATGGACAACCTGGAAGAAATGGACAAATTCTTAGAAAAGCACAACCTTCTGAGACTGAAACAGGAAGAAATAGGAAATATAATCAGACCAGTCACAAACACGGAAATTGAAACTGTGATTAAAAATCTTCCAACAAACAAAAGCCCAGCACCAGATGGCTTCACAGGCGACTTCTATCAAAAATTTACAGAAGAGCTAACACTTAACCTTCTCAAACTCTTCCAAAATATAGTAGAGGGAGAAACACTGCCAAACTCATTCTATGAGGCTACCATCACCCTGATACCAAACCCAGACAAAGATGTCATAAAAAAAGAAAACTACAGGCCAATGTCACTGATGAACACAGATGCAAAAATCCTCAACAAAATACTAGCAGAATTTGAACACAGAATCCAACAGCACATTAAAAGGATCATATACCATGCTCAAGTGGGGTTTATCCCAGGAATACAAGGATTCTTCAATATATGCATATGAATCAATGTGATATACCATATTAACAATTGAAGGAGAAAAACCATATGATCATCTCAATAGATGCAGAAAAAGCTTTTAACAAAATTCAACACCCATTTATGATAAAAACCCTCCAGAAAGTAGGCACAGAGGGAACCTATCTCAACATAATAAAGGCCATATATGACAAACCCAACAGCCAACATTGTTCTAAATGGTGAAAAACTGAAACCATTTCCACTAAGATCAGGAACAAGACAAGGTTGTCCACTCTCACCAGTATTATTCAACATAGTTTTGGAAGTTTTAGCCACAGCAATCAGAGAATAAAAATAAATAAAAGGAATCCAAATCAGAAAGAAGAAGTAAAGCCATCACTGTTTGCAGATGACATGATACTATACATAGAGAATCCTAAAGATGCTACCAGAAAACTACTAGAGCTAATCAATGAATTTGGTAAAGTAGCAGGATACAAAATTAATGCAGAGAAATCTCTGGCATTCCTATACACTAATGATGAAAAATCTGAAAGAGAAATTAAGGAAACACTCTCATTTACCACTGCAACAAAAAGAATAAAATACCTAGGAATAAACCTACCAAAGGAGACAAAAGACTTGTATGCAGAAAACTGTAAGACACTGATGAAAGAAATTAAAGATGATACAAACAGATGGAGATATATACCATCTTCCTGGATTGGAAGAATCAACATTGTGAAAATGACTATACTACCCAAAGCAATTTACAGATTCAATGCTATCCCTCTCAAACTACCAATGGCATTTTTCACAGAACTAGAACAAAAAGTTTCACAATTTGTATGGAAACACAAAAGACCCCGAATAGCCAAAGCAATCTTGAGAAAGAAAAACGGAGCTGGAGGAATCAGGCTCCTGGACTTCAGACTACACTACAAAGCTACAGTAATCAAGACAGTATGGTACTGGCACAAAAACAGAAATATAGATCAACGGAACAGGATAGAAAGCCCAGAGATAAACCCACGCACATATGGTCACCTTATTTTTGATAAAGGAGGCAAGGATATACAATGGAGAAAAGATAGCCTCCTCAGTAAGTGGTGCTGGGAAAACTGGACAGATACATGTAAAAGAATGAAATTAGAACACTCTCTAACACCATACACAAAAATAAACTCAAAATGTATTAAAGATCTCAATGTAAGGCCAGACACTATAAAACTCTTAGAGGAAAACATAGGCAGAACATTCTATGACATAAATCACAGCAAGATCCTTTCTGACCCACCTCCTAGAGAAAGGGAAATAAAAGCAAAAATAAACAAATGGGACCCAGTGAAACTTAAAAGCTTTTGCACAGCAAAGGAAACCATAAACAAGACGAAAAGACAACCCTCAGAATGGGAGAAAATATTTGCAAACAAAGCAAGTGACAAAGAATTAATCTCCAAAATTTACAAGTAGCTCATGCAGCTCAATATCAAAAGAACAAACACTCAATCCAAAAATGGGCAGAAGACCTAAATAGACATTTCTCCAAAGAAGATATACAGATTGCCAGCAAACACATGAAAGGATGCTCAACATCATTAATCATTAGAGAAATGCAAATCAAAACTACAATGAGGTATCACCTCACACTGCTCAGAATGGCCATCATCAAAAAATCTACAAATAATAAATGCTGGAGAGGGTGTGGAGAAAAGGGAACCCTCTTGCACTGTTGGTGGGAATGTAAACTGATACAGCCTCTATGGAAAACAGTATGGAGGTTCTTTAAAAAACTAAAAATAGAACTACCATACGACCCGGCAATCCCATTACTGGGCATATACCCTGAAAAAATCCGTAATTCAAAGAGTCATGTACCACAATGTTCATCGCAGCACTATTTACAATGGCCAGGACATGGAAGCAACCTAAGTGTCCATCGACAGATGAATGGATAAAGAAGATATGTCACATATATACAATGGAATATTACTCAGCCATAAAAAGAAACCAAATTGAGTTATTTGTAGTGACGTGGATGGACCTAGAGTCTGTCATACAGAGTGAAGTAAGTCAGAAAGAGAAAAACAAATACCATATACTAACACATACATATGGAATCTAAAAAAAAAACGGTTCTGAAGAACCTAGGGGCAGGACAAGAATAAAGACGCAGATGTAGAGGATGGACTTGAGGACACAGGGAGGGGGAAGGGTAAGCTGCAACGAAGTGAGAGAGTGGCATGGACTTATATATGCTACCAAATGTTAAATAGGTAGCTAGTGGGAAGCAGCCACATAGCACAGGGAGATCAGCTCGGTGCTTTGTGACCACCTAGAGGGCTGGGATAGACAGAGTGGGAGGGAGACGCAAGACAGAGGAGATATGGGGATGTGTGTATATGTATAGCTGATTCATTTTGTTATAAAGCAGAAATTAACACACCACTATAAAAGAATTATACCTCAATAAAGATGTTAAAAAATTAAAAAATAAAAGAACATACAGTAGGCTTAAGGCCTCTAGATCCATAATCCTTCGTTATGGTAAACTATTCTTTTTTCACAGGATTTTATCCCTGTAATAAATATCTTACTCTTAAAGAAAGAATGAAATTATTTCAATTAGATTTTACTACTGTAAAGTAAAATAGAAATTACATAAATGTGGCATAAAGTATATTTATTGATTCAAATACGAAGGCAGGTGGGAGAATTCAAATGAATGCTTCATTTTCAAAATAAAGAATCTCCCACTAGAGGGTTCTGAGTCAAACTGCCTGCCTCACTCACAGAAAAATATGGGTTTCATTTATGCCCATGTGCATAATCTAAAGGGAAGCCCAAAATAATGTGATCTGAAAGTTTAAAATACATATCAGATTTGAGGCATAATCAAAGTGTCCCTTCATTAGAGTCAGCATTATGTATGTCAGAAATTCAACCTCCCTCTCACCTGAATTGCAGAGTCATCAGAGCTTGAGATAAGAGTCTTTGCATCAGCTGTGAACTGGATGTGCCGTACAGTGTTCTTGTGCCCAATCCTGGATTGGAAGATTCTGTTGTTTAGGAGTTCTAAAATCTTCAAAGTAAAAAACCAGAGAAAATTAATACGAAGAAATTCAGCAACACCCAGGCATTACAACCCCAAAATATTAAATCGAAACTAGACTACAGAAGGGTATAGAATTTCCATCTCAGTGCTTTCAGTTTAACTAAAGATACACAAATGAACGGCACAAATACAGACATGCACATCTATGCACACACACACATGCACACCCATAAACACCCTAAAATAAAACATTCACTGGAATGACCAGATGGCAGTAGGAACCAGTGGTCCTTCTTGAGTATTCAACTACCCAATTCATCAAACAAGTAGCAGTCTGAGCTCAGCCTCCAAAAAGAAAATGACATTCAAGATGGATGAGAAGGAAGAAAGAAAAAAATCCTGGATGAGAGACAAAGCAAGCTCTTTATAAAACAACACAGAGACAATGCAAGATAAAGGATGATGAGGGAGACAGGTAAAGGAAAAGAGCATACACGAGCAGGCTGGGAGGCAGTACACTGAGGAGACTTGAAAGGGCTAAAGATTAATATGCCAAATACAGAGAATAAGAAAGTAGAAAAGAAGTCAAAAAATAACAACTATGTCAAAAAGGCTTTCAAATAAACTCACACCAAAAAAAGTAAATATGCACTAAGTAAGCACTAGGGATGTAATGTACAACACGATAAATATAATTAACACTGCTGTATACTCTACAAGAAAGTTACTAAGAGAGTAAATCCTAAGTGTTCTCATCAAAAGGAAAAATATTTTTCTGTTTCTTTGATTTTGTGTCTATGTGAGATGGTGGATGTTCACTAAACTTACTATAATAAACATTTTATGATGTAAGTCAAATAATTATGCTGTATACCTTAAACTTACACAGTGCTGTATGTCAATTATATCTCAATAAAGCTGAAAGGTAAAAAAAACTCCTCTTTGTAGGGCAATATGGACTGGAGAATATTTGTGTAATTCCTTACGACAATGAATCCAAAGTAAAATAAATGTGGCCAGTGGCATAATTAATAAATTAAGAAACAATTCCAAAAAGCTCAGGTGAGAAAAGGAGTCAATATTCTTTTAAAAACTATTATGTAGCTAGAGAAAACTTGCTTTTGTGATGAATTTCACTTGTGATGAAATCACTTTTTTCCAAAATGATTTTTATTATACTCTCTTTTTTTCCTTACAAGCTTTTATTTTTATTTATTTGATCTTATTTGATAAATTAAGGATTTCAGGTGGTAAACTGGTGTACTTCTAATACCAAAAGTAGAACAGCGAGGACTGGTGAAATAGGTAAACATAAGGCACCTGCACTGATATTCCCGATGAACCTGATCAGAACCAACATGGAAACAACTTACACCCCTAAACGGCCAAGTTTCTAAGAAGAGAAAAAATGCTCTTTGCATAGTTAGCTAAATCTCTGAGAGTGTTTGATATATTTGGAGAACAGCAAGACAACTGGGCAGAGAATAAGGAACACAAAAAGACAAAAAGTATGAGAAAGAATAGTAAAAGCAATATGAAAAATATACAACTAATAGGATTGTAAGATTATTTTTAATCTAACAGAGGAATGACTAATTATCATAGAAAGATTTATTTAGTATATAAGTCTACAATGCCAGGTGTATCATTAATTTTAAATAAAAACTATACTGCACAGAATGCCTCTGCAGAAAAGAACTGAATACCTGAATGGCTCCATCTTCGCCTCCAAATGCAAGGTACTGAAGCTGTGGACTTAAGCAACAGCAACTCACTTGAGCTTCAGTCAGATAATCAATCTGACCTGTGTTTCCATTAATGAGCTAATGAAAAATAAGTCACAATCAAGTATTAGACTGTAAGAGCAGTTTTTGTTCTTTAGAACAGAGACTTCAACTGAAAAAATTAAAATGAATATAACCAACGAGAGCTCCCAGGGGGAACAACAAAACCCTATTCTATTCTCAGCAGCTGCATTTAGCACTTCACACTTTCGTTTCATTTCACTTTTGTGGTTCATATACATTTTCGTAAAATAAAACAAGCTTTAAAAGGTTTAAAAAGCAGCTACTGTGCCCACCACCTGAGACACATCTGTCTGATTTGCAATCCCACAGCTAGCTCCACACTGTTTCCCATTTCTTCACAAAGCCCATTTTAATAGGGCTATCGTTTATTAAAATACACTTCCCTGATATTTTTCAAGGGGTTTGGTGAAACAGGACTGAGACAGACATTACATAAAAAGACAAATTAAAATTAAAATGGGTTTTATATCCTCCAAATTACTCACCAAACAGTATAAATTAAGATTTTTTTCCGCTTTTTCTTCTGGGAGGAGGAGGCGTTGGAGAACAACCCATTAGCACAATTTGGGTTGTAATGCATAGACTAAGAGTACCAAGTTTCATAACCTGTACCCAAACTAATGATTATTCTTTAAAATCCCACTAATAAAAATACCTTATCACTCAACTAAAACATGTGACCTGGGAAAATATTTCTCAATCTTAAATAAACTAACTGTCAGATCTATCCCTCTAATTACAATTACAACCTAAAAGTCTTGAATTATTTTTCAATACGAAATAAGCAGTCACCTTCATTTCAGGTACAAAGATTATAGGGTCAATCAATCAAGATAGCTTTTCCTTTACAATATTTTACCCGGCATGTTCTGATCTATTAGACATTCAAAATGAAGACTGAATTACTAAAAGGTGATTATCTTCCTTCCCTCAAAAATCAATTTCCATACTTTTTTAAGTAGTGACTAAAAAATGTATGTTCACTTAAATGGAACTATTACTTGTCAGTTTAATTGTCCTCTAAACTCTCCCACAATCAATGACATAGAATAAAATATTTTTATAGTCAGATGACTTCTTGAAGTCTCAGTTATGACAAATATTAAAGAAAGGTTGCACAAATTTAATAAAGGTAATATAAGCATTGAACTTGACAAGAAAACTGTAGTGGAAAAAACCCCAAGTGGAAGAATCAGTCTGCTAAAAATCAGTAATGAGGAAATCACATTCAATTCCACATCCCAATTCATCCCAGAAATACAGGGCATTAGGAGCTCCTCATCGACACATTCAGGACAATAGTAAAACTTGTAAAATACAAAACAAGCCATATTTAGAGGAGTCTCACAGCTTGACTCTGACCCACACAGCAGATGAGAAGAAATTACCACACGCCATAGACAATTTATTCCCAGATCTCTGCTTCCTGAGTTTGGATTCCACCTTGACACTATAAAGCAGCTTACAGATTTTTGAAAATGAAAAGGACCTTACAGGTGAAGAAAGTGAGGTTCAGAGAAGTGATGCTATTTACTCAACATCACAGAACTGGCTGACGATAAAGCTTGAACTTGTACCTTGGTCTCCTCAGTGAACAGTCACTATTCCCTCTACTACATCAAGTTGAGCTTTGCAGCTTTAGAACTTGTTAAACTCCATCCTACCCTGTCAGTCTGTCTCAAGCTCTTGCTACATTTCACACCTTTCATGTGCGTGCTCCCTCTATTTCCCTCTCCTCTTCTCTATTCCATTTCTCTCTTCACTCTAGTTCCATTCCATTATCTCATCTCATTCTCTCACATGTTCTTGCCCCCTGTCTTCCAGTTACTAACAGGAGAGGAATGAGGTAAAGCAAGGTATCACCTTGTTTAATTCTAAATACTAGCATATGTGAGCCTCAGCTCAAGACCCACATATCTATAAAACTGATAGCTACTGATCATCTGTTAGATACTATACAATTACGCATGATCAAGTCCAAAAACAAACAAGAAAAATTTTGAATTGAGAGTTCAATCAAAACACTTTTTCCAACTATTTTCTAAAAAATACTCACTTGCAGACGTTTTATGTCATCAACTGCAAGAACCATCACTTCATTTTCTTGAAACACAACATCTATTTCTTGCTTTAACACTACAGCAGAGTTCTTACATACTTTCTTTGTCTCCCAGAGCTGATTAAGAAATTAAAATACTAAAGTAAGATAACTGCATTCTCTGAAATAATGCAAAGACAAGTCTTAGTCTTAAAAACAATATACAATCATACCTCACTCTCCAAATGCCTATAATGCTAGAAAATTTTCAATTAGATTATAATTCAACAATAAAAATTTATTAATTACATAGTATAGGAAGAAGCAGTTATTATTAAGAGTAATGAATGCTAGAATCAAAATACCTTAGTAGGAATTCTAGTTCTACTGAAAGTTGTGACTTTGGGCAGATTACTTAACCTGGTGCTGCTCAAAGATAAGGACCTCCTGCTGTTTCTCACTGCCTGATACCAAGATAAGGAGCAAATCAGCTATATCACTAAACACACTGTTAACAGTATGCTTATGATACAGTTGATTTTTTTAAACAAGACTTTCTTGATGAAGGAAGCAGTGCATTGATTTACATTCTGGCTCAACCTTATTGAGACTGGCACTTTAAACAGCACTGACTTAACCTTTCTGTGACTGTTTCCTCAGCTGCAAAAAAGGATTGCTATGAGAATTAGCAAATTAACACAGGCACAGTACTTTGCCCAATGTCTGGCATACAGTAAATACTAAACAAATTTTAGCTAAACACAAATTTGTACAAAACACTGTATTAGATGCTACAGGGACAAACCAGGGTCTCCGGCCTCAAAGAGCTTATAATTTAAGATGTGTGAACAAGTCTGAGGGGCAGTGAAGCATTAGTGGTAAAGAGTTTTAAAATAACTCTGTGCTGGGAGATCAGCTGGGTGCTTTGTGACCACCTAGAGGGGTGGGATAGGGAGGGTGGGAGAGAGACACAAGATGGAGGGGATATGGGGATATAAGTATACATATAGCTGATTCACTTTGTTATACAGCAGAAACTAACACACCACTGTAAAGCAACTATACTCCAATAAAGATGTTAAAAAGAAAACTCTGTGCTTAAATTTAAGGCACAATTTGATAAGTACCATAAGAAAATGACACACAGTCACATAGCATTAAAGGAGAAAGACATTTCCCCAAATGGAATACTAGGAAAGGCTTCACTGAAAGCTTGAGGGGACTTGTAGGGCTGTTAGGTTTTCGACAAGGAAAGATACAGAGAAGTAGGTTATTCCAAATGTAAGAAAACACATAGGGCTCCCCTGGTGGCGCAGTGGTTGGGAATCCGCCTGCCAATGCAGGGGACACGGGTTCGAGCCCTGGTCCGGGAGGATCCCACATGCCGCGGAGCGCTGAGCCTGCGCTCTGGAGCCCGCAAGCCACAGCTCCTGAAGCCCGAGCACCTGGAACCTGTGCTCTGCAAAAAAGAAGCCACCGCAATGAGAAGCCCGTGCACTGCAACGAAGAGCAGCCCCTGCTCACCACAACTAGAGAAAGCCCCTGCACAACAACAAAGACCCAACGCAGCCAAAAATAAATAAATAAAATATTTTTTAAATACCTTTAAAAAAATACATAAGCAAAAGTACAGAAGCAGGGAAGTACAGGGTGTTTGGGGAAACGTGAGCAATTCAGTGTAGGTTACTTGTAGGAATAAAACAGAAGACAGACTGGTAGAGAATAGGCTGTACTGTAGAGAAGTTTAATGGCAGACTTTGGAGTACGTATTTGTTGGGTTGGCCAAAAGGTTCAGTTTTTTCCGTAAGATGGCTCTAGTAGCACTTAGGTGTCTAACTTCATTCGAAACAATTTTATTAGACTATATGTGACAACTGCCATATCAGCATGCATTTAAAAAAAAAAGACTTATCAAAATTGGTGAATTTTTGTGTAGCTATTTTAATATTGAAGATGGAAGAAAAAAGCAACATTTTGGGCATATTATGCTTTATCATTTCAAAAAAGGTAAAAACGCAACCAAGGGCTTCCCTGGTGGTGCAGTGGTTGAGAATCTACCTGCCAATGCAGGGGACACAGGTTCGAGCCCTTGTCCAGAAAGATCCCACATTCCGTGGAGCAACTAAGCCCATGCACCACAACTACTGAACCTGTGCTCTAGAGCCTGTGAGCCACAACTACTGAGCCCGTGTGCTGCAACTACTGAAGTCCATGTGCCTAGAGCCCACGCTCCGCAACAAGAGAAGCCACCACAATGAGAAGCCCATGCACCACAACGAAGAGTAGCTCCTGCTCACCGCAATTAGAGAAAGCCCGTGCACAGCAAGGAAGACCCAACACAGCCAAAAATAAATAAATTAAATTAATTTATTTTAAAAAAAAAAGAACACAACTGAAACACAAAAGAAAAGATTTGTGCAGTGTATGGAGGAGGTGCTGTGACAGACCAAACATGTCAAAAATGGTTTGCGAAGTTTCGTGTTGGAGATTTCTTGCTGCATGATGCTCCACAGTCGGGTACACCAGTTGAAGTTGATAACGATCAAATCAAGATATTAATTGACAACAACCAACGTTATACCATGCGGGAGATAGCCGACATACTCAAAATATCCAAATCAAGCGTTGAAAATCACCTGCACCAGCTTGAATATGTTCACTGCTTTAATGTTTGGGTTCCACATAAGTGAAAAAAACCTTCTTGATCATATTTCCACATGCAATTCTCTACTGAAACATTCCGTTTGGGACGAAGTGAGAGAGTAGCATTGACATATATACACTACCAAATGTAAAATAGATAGCTAGTGAGAAGCAGCTGCATTGCACAGGGAGATCAGCTCTGTGCTTTGTGACCACCTAGAGCGGTGGAATAGGGAGGGTGGGAGGGAGACGCAAGAGGGAGGGGATATGGGGATATATGTATACGTATAGCTGATTCACTTTGTTATACAGCAGAAACTAACACAACATTGTAAAGCAATTATACTCCAATAAAGATGTTAATTAATTAATTAATAAAGCAAATTGTGACAGGCAATGAAAAGTGGATACTGTACAATAACGTGAAACGGAAGAGATCGTGGGGCAAATGAAATGAACCGTCAACAACCACACCAAAGGCTGGTCTTCATCCAAAGAAGGTGATGTTGCATATATGGTGGGACTGGAAGGGAGTTCTCTATTATGAGCTCCTTCCGGAAAACCAAACGATTAATTCCAAGAATTACTGCTCCCAATTAGACCAAATCAAAGCAGCACTCAACGGAAAGCGTCCAGACTTAGTCAACAGAAAACACATAATCTTCCATCAGGATAATGCAAGACCACATGTTTCTTTGATGACCAGGCAAACACTGTTACAGCTTGGCTGGAAAGTTCTGATTCATCTGCGTATTCACCAGATGTTGCACCTTCGGATTTCCATTTACTTAGGTCTTTACAAAATTCTCTTAATGGAAAAAATTTCAATTCCCTGGAAGACTGTAAAAGGCACCTGGAACAGTTCTCTGCTCAAAAAGATAAAAAGTTTTGGGAAGATGCAATTATGAAGTTGCCAGGAAAAATGGCAGAAGGTAGTGGAACGAAAGGGTGAATAAGTTGTTCAACAAAGTTCTTGATGAAAATGAAAAATGTGTCTTATTTTTACTCAAAAACCAAAGGCACTTTTTGGCCAACCCAATACTTCGGTAGACAAGGGAGCTACTATCTGTTTTGAGCAAAAATGACATGACTGGGGGCTTCCCTGGCAGTCCAGGGGTTAAGACTCTATGCTTCCACTGCAGGGGGCACAGGTTCGATCCCTGGTTAGGGAACTAAGCTCCTGCAAGCCACTTGGCAAAAAAAAAAAAAAAATTACATGACTGTATTGTACATGAGGAATATACCTTGCCAGCAGCATGTAAAAAACCAAGAAAGAAAAGACTTGTAGCAGAGGCTAATACAAGAAAGGCAACAGCTAATGAGCACCTAAACTTGAAGTGGAAAAGTAGAAAGAAATGATAGAAAATGGAAAGGTATCAATAGAATCCATTAGAATTGGCAAGTAATTGGATGTGGGAATTCACGGTAATGGAAAGAGTCAAAAGTTACTCTGAGGACTCAAATATAATATATTTAAATTAACCAAAATACAGTTTAATCATTGGACTTCTCCAGCACCTGGACCATGGTAACACTCAATTAACATGTACTGAATGAATGAGACTGCTATAGTCCACATAATAGCTCTTTTCAAGGATAAATATGAAACCAGCAGTTTCCTGTTTTACTTCCCTCAATACTTCCCATCAATTTCTTAACTAGGAGATTTAGCTTACCATCATTAAATGTCTAAAATGAAAATCTCAATATATCTCACCCTGATTGTCTGGTCATCAGAAGACGTCAAAAATGATGATCCATCAGGAGAAAACATCACACAATGGACCCAACTTAAATGTCCTCTACAATCAGCTACTTTTAAACATGAGTCCATATTCCACAACTACAGAATAAACACAACAAATAGGAAATCACATTCATAAGCATTTTGAATATATCAAGAATATTAAAAATAGCAAGAATGATCCAGCAATTCCACTTCCATGAATATAGCCCAAAAATACACTAGCAAAAATACAAAATAACTTGTGTGGATTATTCACTGCATTGTTATTTTTAACAGCAAAAAACTGGAAACAACTCAAATGACCATCAATAGGGAACTAACTGAATAAACTGCATTAATCACAAAATGGGATAATATGCAATCTTAAGAAAGTAATGAGAAAAACACCCTGATAACGACTAGTCTCTGGGATATGTTGTTTACACCAAAAAAGCAAAGAATGGTATATACATTTCTGCAGAAGGGTATATATGTTTCTCTCTCTCTCTCTCTCTCTCTCGCTCTCTCTCTCTCTCTCTCTCTCTGTGTGTGTATATATATATATATATATATATATGCAAGCTATACTAAATGAGATAAAAAATGTGACTCTAGAGATGTGATATATATATAGATGGATATATAAGGCTATATATTATACACATAGATATCTGTTTATACATGCAAAAAGAAACATTAGGATGTTAAGACAAAAACGGTTACCTTCAGAAGGTAGGGAGGGAGAGTGGCAGGGAAGGGATAGGGATGAAAGTCAGACTTCCCTGAATAAAATTTATTATAAAGCTTTGATTTGGAGTCATACAAACGTTTTATCCATTTTTTAAAAATCAATCTAAAAAAATAATAGGATGAACATAAGTGGTTTCCATATTTTACTTTCCACTGTCATCTAATCCTCATTTCAAATGACTGCAAAACCCTAAAACAAATGAATGTGCTAATTGTACATGTATATACTTCTCCTGTTATTCATGCTTATTACAAATTGTCAATGTCTATCACTAGCCTGGCTGTATTTTGTCCTGAGTTCTGCTGCAAATTACTCTAATATATTCCAGTCTAATGAAGTACCATATGTGCCTGAGTTCCTCTCATTACATTCTGAATTACAGACCTACTTTATGATTTCAGAACTAGCATGGACAAAACAAGTACTTCATCACATGCCCAGTAGTTTTCAATCAGTGAGTTCTATGGTTACCAATTCGTTATGTGAAATTTTCTCTGCCTTATCTCTGGAGTCCAATCTGGGACATACAGAGCTAAAGGCCAGAAATGAAAGTGGTTCCACAACTGAAAAATCTCCCTTGAAAATCCTTCTTTCTCTTCCCTTCTTGCTCTCTCTCATTTCTTTGTCACTCACAGCCTCCAAAACTAAGTCCCTATATTTCAAGAAGAAAGACAATGTTTCCAGGAGATTTTTAAGAATAGCAAGGGGTAAGGATTTTAGAAGTGACAGGAAAGGCCACAAGAAGGGCTGCTCCTCCACTCCTCCTAAAATCCAGACAAAACCCAGGAAGGGGAAATTTCCAAGCATGCCTACCTTGAGGATCTACGGGTAAGGTGTGAGATCTCCTAGTAGCTCTGAATCTTTCGATTCAAGACCTCTGCTGAAGAGAACACTGCCCACAGCACCTACTCTCTCCCATTGCTGCAAACAGGACTGGAGCTCGTTCACACTCATTGCCTCTGCTTCCAATGGGAAGATTCTCACAGGGAAGTTATTCAGTGTTAGTTGCACTGCTGTACTCAGAATTAGGAGGAGCTTACAGAGCTTATCCACTCACTCTCATCTTGCTTGTATCTCCATGCTGAAGGGCTATATAGCTCAGCCACTCTCCAGCCATACCTTCATGTATAGGGCAAGGTTGGTGAACTCACTAAAAAATCACTGAAACAGGCTCAGAGCACTGAAGAAGTGCTTGCCATTGTCAAGCTTCCTTTGAAGGTAGCCTGTGAACCAAATGAATTTCCCTATTTTCCAAATAAAGGCCCAAACCCATCTTCTTGGACTGTAATCACAAGGGGCTTCAAATTACTTGGTGGTAAGATAAACTCAAGGAATGAGTAGTAACAAAGCTTGGAAAAACTAATCCATCTATGGAGAAAAAATATCAGGGAATTCATTGCTTTTGAAAAAATTAATACAGCAACTCACTGGGTAGAATTCTTCTAGGTATAGACACTGAGTATAAAATCCATCAGGTTAAGGGCAAAATTATAAATATAAACAAGAAATCATTTTATTCATTAGTGCTTAGCAATGAAAATTCTAGGTTAACCAATTCTAATTTTAACTTCCATCTTACCTTTCTCAATGATCTAAGAAATGTGAACTGGACTCATTTCTCATCATTTCTTTTACAGAAGAGTCTGTACCCATATTTAAGAGATGCCATGTTTCTGCCTAGGAAACCAATGGTCATGCCATTGTTTCCCCAGACCTTGGCACATACTGACTGTTCGATAAATGCCTGGTGAATGATGCTGTCTGTCATTCTCTGTTTACTGTCAAACCAATTCTTCAATCACTGCTAAAGTATTAAAGCTGTTAATGCGGCTTAATATCCTAAAGCTAAAGGTCATTATGCTATGAAGAAAACACTCTATAATATCTCAAGCAAACATCCTCAGCAGTTAATGGTTTAAGCAACCCATTCTTTGTCATCCTTGTACCTCTGAAGACCCAGACTTCACAGAGTAAATTCAACTACTCACCTCCACGCAGTACTGGGGCAAAGCCACCACTGCCAGATGGTTATGGGGGGAGAAGTCACAGTACTGGACAGTGCTATGATGGCCTGTGTGGATTTCTGCCAACAGGCCACTAGTGTGAATGTCAAACAGCTGTCAACATAAAATAGAGAGATATCTATAAAAGTAAATATGTTAAAAGATAAGCTATACCCGAAGTGAATCTAAATTTATTTCTAAAAGAATACCCTCCCATTTCAAACATAGAGTATAAGTCCTAAAAAAAATACTACAATTACTGATAATTGGCAAAATTATTAACTCATTAAAAAGATATAAATTAATATACATATACTTTTTAAATACTGCTTATCCTGAAACATGTTTCCTATAAAGGAAAACTTATCACAGATGATCGTGCTAGCCTAGGGAGAAATAAAACCTTTGTGAATACATGAATGGACTAGCCAAATTAATATACAGAACAGTTCTCCCTAATGCTCATTTATTCAAAAGAGAAAATGCCTACTCATAAATGAAGATGATCAAAATAATATAGGGCAGAGGCTTACTAAAATGAAATTAGTTCAATCATTTCTATTTCTCTTCAGAGCCTAAATTACTCCATTATCAATCATTTTCCCATTTTTGAACCAAAAAAAGCTATTTTTGAGTAATTCATTTCAATTTTTGAAAGATGTTTACATGATGAATATACTCTTCCAAAGTTTTTGCCAAATGATAAAAACGTTTATACCAATATACAGTATAACGATTTAAGGCCAAGCCATAGTCTTCAGGAAGGAAAAAAAAAAGTTTCCAGTGGAAGCCATGAAAATGTTTTGTGAATGCATAGCCCTGTGAGCACACATAGACGGTAAGCAGCATGGCATCAGGGGCCAACAATAAATGAAAGGAAATCATACTTAAAATGCTTCCCAGGACAAGTTGTTCTTAAAAATTAGTGGCTGACAGTCATAGAGGAAACTTGGCAAGTACAGAATAGGCAGCTGTCCCAATTATTGGGTAGCAAAAAGACCTAATAATAGGAGTGGGCTAATAACACAAGAGAATTGGAAAGAAATAGAGGAAAAGAATAAAGAGACCAAAGAGTAAGAACTGGAATCTATATGTAGTTAAGGGTAATCTTAGGGTAGCTTTATTTTAGCATGGTAAAATAAAGAGTTGGCCTATAGATTTTTAAAACAGGAAAGCATTTCACACAATATAAAATTATTTTCCTCTCTCACTGGACAGATAATTTTAAACATTCAAATTTTGCTCAACACCATTAGTCATTAGGGGAATGCAAACCAAACCATAACTTTACACCTAATATGACAGTTATAATTTTTAATAATGAAAAAAAGCAAGTGTTGGCAGGATGTAAAGAAATTGGAATCCTTGTACACTACTAGTGGGAACAGAAAATGGTATAGCCACTATGGAAAGGTCTGGTGGTTCCTCAAAAAGCCCAGTATAAAATTACCATACGACCCAGAAATTCTACTCCTAGGTATATACACAGAAGAACTGAAAGCAGGGACTCAAACAGATACTTGTACACTAGTTCTTGTGGCATTATTCACAACAGCCAAAAGGTGAAAACAACCCAACAACAGATGAATGGATAAACAAAATACAGTATATCCATATAAGATTATTACTCAGCCATAAAAAGAAATGAAGTTCTAACACATGCTACAACATGAATGAACCTTGAAAATGTTATGCTAAATGAAATGAGCCATACCCAAAAGGATCAATATTGTACGACTCCACTTATATGAAATATCTAGAAAAGGCAAATTCATAGTTTAGATTAGAGGTACCAGGGGCTGAAGAGAGAGAATAGGGAGTTACTGCTTATTGGTTACAGTGTTTCTGTTTGGGACAATGAAAAAATTTTGTAAAAGTAGTGATATCTGCACAAGACTGTGAATGTAATTAATGCCACTGAATTGTGTATTTTAAAATGGTTAAAATGGCAAATTTTACAAATCTTCACATCTTGTAAATGTAGTGGTTCCTTTCTGTTCTTACAGACTTTAACATACTTAAAGACAAAAGGAGATATTTTTCTTTGGTTTCCTGCTAAAGGGGTAAAAACCTATAAGCAACCAAGATCCAAGGGTCATAACTACTAGATCAATAATAATAATATAAATGGCCCCTCAGTTTTTATACAAGTATATATATTTTTTTTTCGATTTATTTTATTAATTTATTTATTTTTGGCTGCACTGGGTCTTGGTTGCTGTGCGCAGGCTTTCTCTAGTTGCGGTGCGCAGGCTTCTCATTGTGATGGCTTCTCTTGTTACAGAGCATGGGCTCTAGGTGCGCAGGCTTCAGTAGTTGTGGCGCACAGGCTTCAGCAGTTGTGGATCGCGGGCTCTAGAGTGCAGGCTCAGTCCGTGTGGCGCACGGGCTTAGTTGCTCCACAGCATGTGGGATCTTCCTGGACCAGGGCTCAAACCCGTGTACCCTGCATTGGCAGGTGGATTCTTAACCACTGTGCCACCAGGGAAGGCCCCAACTATATGTATATTTCAACTGTGTTCTTTAAAACTGTAATCTCTTGGGTGGGGGAAATAGGGAGAGGTTGATAAAAGGATACAAACTTTTAGTTATAAGATAAATAAGGTCTGAGGATCTAATGTATAAAATGGTGACTATAGTTGATAACATTGCATAGTATAAGAGAGTAGAACTTAAATGTTTTCAACAAAAAAAAAGAAAGAAAAAGAAAAAAAGGCAAATACATGAGCTGACACGTGTTAATTGGTTTGATGGGAGGAATCTCTTCACAGTATACGTTTATCAAATCATCATGTTATACACTTTAAATATTTTATAATATGTCGATTATACCTCAATAAAGCTTAAAATAAAACAGAATAAACTTGTAATATCTCTTATTTAAGTCTTTAAAGTTACCATCAGAATGGAATGGCACTGTGCCCTAAATTAGAAGACCCAGCTCTCCTAATCACTGTGTAACTTTGGATACATTATTTGGCTTCTCTGAACCTCAGCTGCCTCATTATTATCATAGGGCTATTGCAATCTGCTGTGCCCTTTGTATATTTATATCAAAAGAAATTACACGTAAGAGCACTCTGAATACTACAAATGTAAACTATCACTTGAATAAAGAAGAAACATTTCTTTGCCATTTACCTTTCTTTGCATATCTTCCTTATTTACTTCATAGAAATTTCACAAACTTCTTCAGTTGTTGATAAGTATTTCTCTCAGTCACCAAATCATAAAATTTTACAGCTAAGAAATAACTTCGAAAATCACCTAAACCAATGTATTTCAAATGGGGGAAAGGGGGGAGAGTAATGCAGAAAGCATTCCATCCATATTTTAGATAAATTTGAGAAACACTGGTTAAACAACATAAATTGTTTCTTTATTGTAGGACTCCGGAGTCCTTAAATATGTTTGTACACACTGAAGTACCTCTAATAGCGGAAAGTAATACATAATATTTCCCAAACCCGTGACCATGGAGACCCTTCCTCACAAGGCCTATGGACATTCCCTGAAGCATAGTTCTGAGAACTATGGGAGGTTAGAGCATCTGCCCAAACTCGTTCAGCTATACTTTATATCAATAAACAGTATAAAATGCAAAAATCAATTAGATGTTTCAATTTTCTTTAAATTAGACTAAATTTGGCTTTTTAATTTTGGCTTTTTAAAATACTGGTACTTACAAAGACTTTATTTTTTGCTGCCACCATTATCCTAGCACCATCAGCAGACCATGAACAGCATTTCACTATCACTTCCATATCCTCATGAGGCTCCTCTGAATTTAGGAAGAACTGCTTCACATTAATGCTCTTCCTCTCGTTTGCTGATTTCACATCCCAAAGCTTCAAATTACAAAAATAAAAAAAGTTTAAGTTTGTTTTGATCTCAAATCACACCTCTAGAATTCCACCTGGCCTAAATGTCACACAAATTATTCAGTTCATCTAATGACTTATTTTTAATTATGCATAACTTTTCATAAGGCTTTTAAATTAAGTATTCCAGTTTCATTCAGCACCTTCCTAAAAAGAAAAAACTTAAGAGCACTGCCCAAAATGCAGAATGTAAAACTACACAAAATGTTAAAAGAGCCTTGCATGGTGTGGAGGAGGCTAAAGATCAGGTGTTGACAGCAAGAATGAGCGTGGAAGAAAGAAGAGACTCACGACTTGCCACGGCTGCCCTCTGCTGGGCCAGGCATGAGGTTTGCTTCACATGCACAGCACAGACACTACACACAGGCACCACCCCCCCCCCCAAGCTGAGTTATAACCTAGCAGAGCATCAGAGACATAAGGAAGTCCCTGAAAATAGAAAACAAAAATATGCTGAAAGGAAGCAAGCTACCTTGTGTGCTTGGTGGGGTCAGACAGGGCTCTAAAACAACTGGATCCTGAGGAATGGGATACGAAAGACTAAACCTCACTCGCTAACAGAGCCACCTGAGCAGCCCAAATGACAAAGGTCTTCAAGAAGATCCATCTTCACTCCCCTGGGCCTTGAGCAGTGTCCCAGTTCCACAGAATGATAATGGCTGCCATACACAGACCAAGGGTTGGCCAAGGAAAAGGATTTAAAAACAAAAAAAGCTGCTTCTCAGGCTTTAACTCAGCTTCCAAAGCACAGCTCCCAGGGTAAAACCCGATTTGACTGGCCAGGCACACGTTTACATCTCTCTTGAGTTTAAAGATTATGTACACTAGAAATACAGCCAAAACCAAAACCTTTCCCCTTGCAATAACTATAGGTAAACTGGATGAACCAAAAGAGACATCTAAAGTAGTTAGCCCTCCTTGACACTGAAGAGGGAAAATCTGAACATCAGTGCCAGAAGCTTCAGTCACATCAGTCAGATTATATGAGAAATCACACTCTGTTTCCCTCTTAATACGAAAAACAAAGCAATCATTGCCTGGATTTAAGAAAGAAAAAGAAAACTAACACAACCCAATTTCACTACATCTATCTAAACTACATCTTCTGCATGTGGACCTGACCTTAGTCACTATCCAAGGAGTGATGAAATTCCACATACTGAGGGACCAAGTACATACCAGCATTTCATTTTGAGCAAGTCACTGCACTGTATCCAAGGCCCATGTGAACCCTGGTCCTTGTGTGGTTCAAATGGCAATTTTTAAATAAAACTCACATTTTGAAACAGTTTATCATCAAGGCCTGAAAAACACATGCTTACCAACATGATATGCTATAAAACACTTAGAAGATTACAGAGCCATTTGGGACAGGAAATAATTTTATGGTTCTTCATCCTCTCGGGAAATAAAAGCTTTACAAGACTTTGACCTTGAAATGCTCTTATCCAGAATCATTTTTCAAGACCTCTGCTTAGTAAACGTCACTGTATCAGTGTGAACCAGCCAACGATACTGGCTTAACAGTAAAAGCTGCCACAAACACGGCAGTTCTTACCAAGAGTGCAGCAATGTCTGTCCCCTGCTGTTAGTGCTCTACAATCACATTCTGATACCCATACCTGAAATCAAAATCCTGTCCCTGAAGACTTTTAACTTGTTTTTCTTTTGAGTTTTGAGAAGTCTTAATTCAATTTGAAGGGACACAGCAAAGGTTTATCATCTTGAACACATTTATTAACCACGATGCTAGTCACTTCGAGATTATATAAGTGAATCAGATATAGACACTACTCTCAAGGAGTTTATAGGCCAGTAAAGGAGGTAAGACAAACATATAAATGACTCTAACACAAGATATGCCAGATGTGTCATTTGAGAGGAAAAGATACAGCACAGTGGGATTGCTTTACCAGAGCCATGGGCTTGAGGAAACACTTTTTGCAGTGGGGGCCACCTCACTCTCCTCCCAGAAGATCAGCCTACTTTATACCAACTTAAGATGGACTTAAGATGGATTTCAATACCAAAAAATACCAGAAAGTCTAGGCTAAGGGGTCACCATAAGCTAAAGAACAAAATGGAAAAGCACAGACAATGATAAGCGAGAACAAGTGCAGTCTGGGTGCAGCAGCAGGAGCCTGCACACTCCCCCACAGAGCCACTGCCTGCTCTGAGCCCCCTCCACATACTTTTACCATTTTCATGGTTTGCCTATTCACTTACCTTTCTCCCCAGCTAGACCCTGAACAACTTCAAGCCAGGAACTATACTTTTTTTTTTTTAAGTATTTAAAAACCAAATGCCTAGGGCTTCCCTGGTGGCACAGTGGTTGAGAGTCCGCCTGCCGATGCAGGGGACACGGGTTCGTGCCCCAGTCCGGGAAGATCCCACATGCCGCGGAGCAGCTGGGCCCGTGAGCAACGGCCGCTGGGCCTGCGCGTCTGGAGTCTGTGCTCCGCAACAGGAGAGGCTACAACAGTGAGAGGTCCGTGTACCGCAAAAAAAAAAAAAAAAAAAAACAGATGCCTAGTACAGAATCTGGCACATAGTAAGTACTCAATAAATGATCAATAAACACATTTTAAGTGAAAAGACAAATTATTCCCATGTTTCAAGCACAGGTGAGTAGAGACAATAGCGTTACTGAAAGAAACAGGGTTCTGAAGATAGAACACATACATTCATCTCCACACCCTCCCAAAACCCACGTAAAACAACAGTAAAGAGAATTTTTCTCTCTAGGCATAATTCACAAAGTAAAGGAGAATGGAGGAAGATATTAGAGCGACAAAACTATAAAGGCTAGAAATAAAAAAGACAAGTGATAAGGGGACTCCTTAAAATTGAATCCTGAGCTCACAGTGGAGAAAGCCAAGAAGTAGCCCAATTCACACCAGAGAACCCCCAAAAGGCTCAGGAAGTGTTGGGCCTAGCACCTTCCAGTAAAGATGGAGCTAACACAGGAGTAATCATCGAAAGTCCCTTGAAATCCCTTCCCCTACTCTGCCATCCAGATTGCCCTACTCTGGCTGAAGAAAAGAGGGTTAATCTACACCCAACACAGTTGAGAGCAGGGTCACCATTCTGAAAATAGGGAATTTAAGAGAAAGTCTATATTCCAAGTGTTGAGATCTCTGCCTAGATATCTTCGTAGAACTTGCCAGCCAGACTTATACCCTACAGGAAGGGGACTGAAGATTTTTCTCTGAATACCCCACCAGATCAAGACAAAAGATTCAAAGAGTCTGACATTAGGAGTTCACCATCAAAAAATGACAGCCAGATAACACTACAGGGAAACCCACTATAAATAAGTTCACAATTTCCTATCAGTTTTTTGGTGCTGCACTCTTTAAATTTGTTTGTTTGTTTGTCTGTTTCTTATTATTTATTTTTGGCTGTGTTGAGTCTTCATTGTTGTGCACAGTCTTTCTCTAGTTGCAGCGAGCGGGGGCTACTCTTCATTGTGGTACACGGGCTTCTCATTGTGGTGGCTGCCCTTTGTGGCAGAGCACCACCAGCTCTAGGGCATGTGGGCTTCAGTAGCTGTGGTACACGGGCTCAGTAGTTGTGGCTCATGGGCTCTAGAGCGCAAGCTCAGTAGTTATGGCACACACGCTTAGTGGCTCTGCGGCATGTGGAATCTTCCCGGACCAGGGCTCGAACCCGTGTCGCCTGCACTGGCAGGAGGATTCTTAACCACTGCGCCACCAGGGAAGTCCCAGTGCTGCACTCTTTAAGCATGAGCACATATCCAAGGATCAGGCAAGTAAGATATAGCTCTCAAGTGCAGACAGAAACCAAAACCAACAAACAGAAAAAATAGCAACTATAAAAGAATATGAAAACTTAAAAAAAAACTATTACTAATACCCACAAAAAGATAAAAGGTATTGTACCCATGAAAAAAGAAAAATATTAAAAAGGAAACTGATCATAAGAATGGGTACACTTAAAAATATGATAGCAGAAATTAAAAACACAATAGAAGGAGTGAAAAATAAAGCTAAATAAATCTTCCAAAAAGTAGGACAAATGGATGAAGAAAAGAGAAAAATAAGAAAACATCCCTAATAGACATTCTAGAAAGAGAAACTAAAGAAGAATAAGTCAAATAATTAAAGGAAACCTCCAGAACTGAAGGACATGAATTTCCAAATTGAAAGAGGCTATCGAGTGCCAATCACAATAAATGAAGACAAACCCACACCAAGGCACATTATCATTAATTTTTTAAAATACTGGGAATAAAAAAAGACCTTAAAAGTTTCAAGACAGGAAAATAGATCACATACGAATCAGAATGGCATCAAACATCTCAAGAGAAACTTTGGAAGCTAGAAGACAAGAGAGCAAGCAATGTCTCCAAAATTCTAAGGAAAAATTACTTACTTCTGTATGCAGTCAAAAATATAAATTAATGGGTTTCCTTGGTGGCGCAGTGGTTGAGAATCCGCCTGCTGATGCAGGGGACACAGGTTTGTGCCCTGGTCCAGGAAGATCTCACATGCCGCGGAGCGGCTGGGCCCATGAGCCATGGCCGCTGAGCCTGCGCGCCCGGAGCCTGTGCTCCGCAATGGGAGAGGCCACAACAGTGAGAGGCCCACGTACCGCAAAAAAAAAAAAAAAATATATATATATATATATATATATATATATAAATTAAGTATGAAGCTAGAAGAAAGGCACTTTTAGACAGACAAGTTCTCAAAAATTTACCTCCCAGAGATTCTTTCTTAGAAAGCTAGAGGAGATTTTCCACCAAGCGGAGAGGGTAAACCAAGAAATTCAGGAAACAAGGGTTTCAACTCAAGAAAAAAGCAAAAGGAACTCCCAGGATGGCAGCTGAACACTGGGAATAGTACCACCAATCATAATGGAGCAAGGTAGAACCCTCTAAGAAAGTTATTTCTAAGAAGAGAAAATGTCAAATCAAATACCTGATACATTTAAATTATTTAAGAAAGAACTTAGGCAAGGGATAGTTTGAAGGTGAATTAGTGGTATGCACATTTAAAAAATAATAGGGGGACTTCCCTGGTGGTCCAGTGGGAAGATTCCACGCTCACAATGTAGGGGGCCCAAGTTCAATCCCTGGTTGGGGAACTAGATCCCGCATGCCTGTCACAATTAAGAGTTCGCATGCACAACAAATAAGTCCGTGTGCTGCAACTAAGACCTGGCTCAGCCAAAATAAATAAATTTAAATAAATAAATGTCAACCTTTGGGCTTCCCTGGTGGTGCAGTGGTTAAGAATCCGCCTGCCAATGCAGGGGACACGGGTTCGAGCCCTGGTCCGGGAAGATCTCACATGCCACGGAGCAACTAAGCCCATGAGCCACAACTCCTGAGCCTGCGCTCTAGAGCCCGCAAGCCACAACTACTGAAGCCCGCACCCAGAGCCCGTGCTCCACAACAAGAGAAGCCACTGCGGTGAGAAGTCCGCGCTTCACAACAAAGAGTAGCCCCCGCTGGCCGCAACTAGAGAAAGCCTGTGCGCAGCAATGAAGACCCAATGCAGCCAAAAATAAATAAATAATAAATAAATTTTAAAAATTAAAAAATAAATGTCAACCTTTAAAAAAAAAATAAGCAAATGAAAAAAACAAAGCTTCACTGTTAAATATACAGCATCTTTAATCCCAAAGAAAACAAAGTGTTGTACAGGAAAGGGGGAAAAAATCAACATATACTACATGGCCCAACTGTGATCAGTCACAATGATGTAAAAATCCTAAACACTGATCTAATCAAAATCCTGAAACATATAGGAAGTTTGGGGAAGAAAAAATGAAGAGTTCAGTTTGGAGCACAGTAAGTTTGAGGTCCGGCATATTATCTAAGTGACAGCAGTGAGCAGGCAGTTAAAGATGCAGGACACAGCACATAAGAGAAATGAGGGCTGGAGAGAACACATCTGAAAGTCACTCACAGAAGGGAGAAGAACTGAAGCCACAAGACCAGCTGAACTGGGACGGAAGAAAGGTGATGGAGGTAGGTAGTCAAGATTAGAATCTTGAGGAAACAGCTATATTTTAATGGGCAGGAAAAAGAGTTAAAGAAGAGGTTAGAGACACAGAAAGAGAAAGAAGAAAACACTGATGTCAAATGAGTAGAGTTTCAAAAAGGAAACAGAAGGGGGTGTAATACAACCAAAAGAATAAGGACTGGATGAAGAAAAATACCGGATTCCACACTCATCCAAAGAGCATTAGATTTTACAACAAAAAGAATGAAAACAAAATAAAACTGGATTTTACTCTTCAAGGGAATACAGGGAAGACAGGACCAGGTTAAAAAAGGGTTAAGTAATGAATAAGTAGTCAGAAGGTTGAGGCAAGTATAGGTGACTTAAGAAGTCTAGTCATAAAGGTCTAGTCAAAAAGAAAAACTGAATGACTCTTTCAGAGGATAACACAATCAAGGAAGAATCAAAGGTTTTTCACTTTTTGGTTTTATAATGCTTAGGAAGGGCCAAGAACATCTGTAGGCTGTGGGAAAGGATTCAAAAGAGAAAAAAAACTAAAGATGCAACATCGAGAGGAAATAACCAATGAGGCGAGGTCTCAGGGGAAGAAGGAAAAAAAGGAACAGTAGGCACAAGCAGAGGACTTCCTGGGCACTGAGATGAGAAAAAAAAGGGGAGTAGAGACTTCTTATGGCAATTTTTGAGAGGGCTCATGGCAGGGAGCTCTTGGGTGGTGTCAACCTTCTGAATAGGTATGAGGTAAGGTTATCTCCATAGAATGAAAGAGATACAGCGACATTGTTAGGGGCTTAAGAACAGCAGAAAAGGTTTGGAACAGGCACTATGGTGAATTCAGTTCGGGAAACAAATGGCAGCAAAGAAGGCCCAGTAGAGTTACACAGCTCAAACTTGTAGAACAGATAAATGGCCTGGTTTCACAACTTTCTTCAACATTAAGCAAACTAATAATAAGGAATCTTCCCAGAACTTGCATTAGCAATGGAGATAAGGTAAGAGGAGAACCTTCTTTGAGATATAAAATGCCTTCTGAAGTCATTCACTTAGTAAAAACCAAGAAATAACAAGCTCATAGGACTAGAAGAATCTTTCAGAAGAGGGTTGCCTTCACTGAGCCTCCAAAAAGTCCTCTGATATGGTCATCCCAAAGAAGAGACAGATATTTGATATTTGTAGAGAATATGTCATAGAGGCCAGATCCATTTGGCTGAATATTCTAAGAATGCTCCAACATCTACTAGATGTCAGGAAATTATATCAAGTAGAATTCTACCCATAAAATTCCTATAACAAATTTATAAGTGGAAATCAGAAGACCAAGCAGCTTCCATCTATCGATATACATAGATACAGGTATATAGTAGATATGTATATATTTGTTCTCAGAACCAGATGGATGGATGTCATAAGAGAACACCTTCTGAAGAAGGCTTTGCATTTATTTTTTAAATTTATAAAGTTTTGAGGGTCATTAAAAACTACAGACAAGTGAATTGGAGGCCAAAAAAATTCCAAAAAAGACTAATGAAACATATATAGGGCCAGTAGCTGAAATAAGCCCCCAAAATTATCTTGCCCAGAAGTGACAATTAATGTACTGGACAGGATCAGAGGTAGCAGAATGATGGAAAGTGAAGAGCCTTAGAGGTGTGCCTGATGAGCCTGGGTTTACCACAGTTTAGAATTTGGTACATATGTGTTCCAGCTAAAAACGGCAAGATGAAAACAGAGGTAGAGAGTTAATCTAGCATCTACATATTGGGATAAGGAAGGAGGAGGAGTGTATCTTAGAAGGCTGCTATCACACATGAGGGTATAACAGCATGAATCAGAGCAAACACTACAGAATGGGAGGGGAAAAGGTAGACCAAGAGGTGAGGAAGTCAAAGATGGATTGGATTTAACACCAAAGAAAGGAGAATCAATAAACAGGAGACCAGAATGACAGGAGAGAGGAATAAGAAAGTGGCATAGGGGGCTTCCCTGGTGGCGCAGTGGTTGAGAGTCCACCTGCCGATGCAGGGGACACGGGTTCGTGCCCCGGTCCGGGAAGATCCCACATGCCGCAGAGCGGCTGGGCCCGTGAGCCATGGCCACTGAGCCTGCACGTCCAGAGCCTGTGCTCCGCAACAGGAGAGGCCCGCGTACCGCAAAAAAAGAAAGTGGCAAAGTGGCATAGGTTCTTATTGAGAAGTAAGGTGGAGATTTAAGGAAGAAGAATTCAGTTTTTTTAAAGACTATAAATTTCAGGAGGCTGAATAAGCTTTTTTCCCTAGCTCTGAGTTTTCCCCCATAAGATTTCGCAAAAACAGGAATACAGGAACATAAAAGGCAGAATAAATGAATGATAAATAAAAGCAGGACCTTTACAAATTTGATCCCATAGATCTCAAAAGATTTTATGAAACCATAAACGAAATACATGCTTAAAAATTAAGAATTAAAATTATATGAACTTTAAAGCATAAGGTAGTAAACCATTAATAAGCAATCATTATGACAACCAATTACAGTTATATTAAATATGCTCCTGGAAGTTGAAGGAAGAAGCTTTCTGTAGAAATGTGAAAAACAGAAACCTCTTTCCGTAAAACAATAAAATTATTTACAACCCATTTTAACAATGAACAAAAGCATACCTTTAATGTTCCATCAGCTGAACAACTAGCCAAAAGCTTGTCATCTGGTGAAAATCTGCAGTGATTGACTGAATTTGTATGGCCAAACATGGTATTTCGACATTCTTTTTGATTCAGAGCCCAGAGCTATTTGAGAAAGATAAAAAGATAACTGAAAAACTAGCACTGAATGGGGAAAAGTTAGAAATCATGTGAAGTTCTTCCTTCCCTCCCAATTAAGCTTTTTCAGTTACAGGAAGCGTTCCATTCACAGTTTGACAAAGGTGTCAAACACAAAGGTGAACTTGTGATTAACAAGTAATGGGGCAGTCCTTAGATCAGCACCTAAATCTACTAAGGGACTTGAAGGTTTATCTAGGCTTCAGTCTGAGCACTAAACTAGCTAAACAATTACTGCTTATTTTAACAAAGTAGTTTGAAATCATTATTATTTTACTCAGCTGTATAACAAGTAATATGTAAAATAAACTGCCCAATTTTTTTAGATGCTAAGTTATCCAACTCTAAAAATAGTCATTTCTAAGATTTCCCTATGCAAACCTAGAGTCTACTAACTAGGATAAAATCTATTAACGCTCTTAAAAAATGACTCAAAAATACAAAGACTGCAAAGATAGATATAAATACATTTGACGGGAAACATAAGGGATTAGAAGAGCAAGTTAAACAACCCTTCCTGGAAACAATCAACCAAATCCAGAAGGTGGGACATTCCACAGGATAAATGACTCAATTTTTCTAACAAATCAATGGCATAAAAAAAGAGATAGACGGGAAAGGGAACATTTAAAGAATAAAAGATTTAAGAGACATATCAACCAAATGCCACTGGAAGTTTGGATTCTGACTCCAATAAATATATGGTAGAAAGATATGCTTTGAGACTAATAAGGAAAAAAGAACATGGACGAGGTATATTATGAAATTACTGTTTATTATGTTAGGTATGATAATGGCATGGTATTTATGTTTTAGACCTCAGAGATTCATGCCTAAGTATTCTGGGTGAAATGATATGTTACCTGGGATTTGCTATAAAATGCTCTAATCCAAAAAAATGGGAGGTGGTGGGGGAATAAAATACAACTGGCAAATGTTGACAATTGTTGGAGCTAGACGATGGACACCACGAGAGTTACTATTCTCTCTCCTTTGGGGTATGTTTGAAAAGTATAAAAAATGTAAATAAAATGGGCAAGGGGGATTTATGCAAATTAGATTAAACACAGAAGAAATCATTTACCTCCCAAAATTAATCTTAATAAAAATCCTTTGGAAATGATCAGTGAGTTAAGTCCTGTTCTTTATGTCCAACTCCATCCCTAGCTTCTTTTATCCCAGTCCCAGATAAACCCCATTCTGCAGATAATGCAAATTACATGGGAGCAGAATCAAATTTACATCTTTTCATTGGCTTCTCTCAGTTCAAAAAGCACAAGAAGGGCTTCCCTGGAGGCGCAGTGGTTAAGAATCCGCCTGCCAATGCAGGGGACACGGGTTCGAGCCCTGGTCCAGGAAGATCCCACATGCCACACAGCAACTAAGCCTGTGCGCCACAACTACTGAGCCTGGGCTCTAGAGCCCGCAAGCCACAACTACCGAGCCCATGCGCCGCAACTACTGAAGCCCACACACCTAGAGCCTGTGCTCCGCAAGGAGAGAAGCCACCGCAATGAGAAGCCCGCACATGCACCAAAGAGCAGCCCCCGCCCTCTGCAACTAGATAAAGCCCGTGCACAGCAACAAAGACCCAATGCAGCCAAAATTAAAAAAAAAAAAGCACAAGAAGTGTGACTTCCCTGGTGGCACAGTAGTTAAGAATCCATCTGCCAATGTGGGGGACATGGGTTCAAGCCCTGGTCCTGGAAGATCCCACATGCCGCAAAGCAAATAAACCTGTACACCACAACTACTGAGCCTGCACTCTAGAGCCCACGAGCCACAAATACTGAAGCCCACGCACCCTAGAGCCCATGCTCTGCAACAAGAGAAGCCACCGCAATGAGAAGTCCGCACACCTCAATGAAGAGAAGCCCCTGCTCACCGCAACTGGAGAAAGCCCATGCACAGCAACAAAGACCCAACGCAGCCAAAGAAATAAATAAATTTCTTTAAAAAAAGAACTTAAAGTTTATAAAAATAAGAGAACAGAACCCTTGCATAGGACATAGGATCCAGGACTTGAAAGAATACAATAAAATCAGATTTAAAAAAAAAAAAAAAGCACAAGAAGTAAGTCCTAATAGTCCTCATGGAAATGCAAGTGTGGAATGACCGGTCTTAAAGTAAAACTTGTCCTTATTCAAAACTGTTGACCAGGTTTCCCTGGTGGTACAGTGGTTAAGAATCCACCTGCCAATGCAGGGGACACAGGTTCAAGCCCTGGTCTGGGAAGATCCCACATGCCACGAAGCAACTAAGCCTGTGCGCCACAACTACTGAGCTTGCACTCTAGAGCCCACGAGCCACAACTACTGAGCCTGCGTGCCACAACTACTGAAGCCTGTACGCCTAGAGCCCGTGCTCCGCAACAAGAGAAGTCACCACAGTGAGAAGCCCACACACTGCAATGAAGAGTAGCCCCCACATGCAGCAACGAAAACCCAACACAGCCAAAAATAAATAAAATAAATAAATTTATCTTAAAAAAATTATCAAACATATGTGGAACGAATATCTATTTCTGGTTTTAGTTTGGTTTAAATTTTTTTCTTTTCCTATCAGTACATTTTTTCCCTCCTCTTTCTGATAACACACCCTCTCTTTCGAATCTTGAATCAAGCCCCAGTCATAATTCAAGTGGAGCTGACCTCACCTATTCGTCCCATTTCTACATGGCTAAAACCTGTGACCCCTGGCCAATTGAAGGATTCCATCCTACTGACCGCTAGGGTTATTCTGAAATGCGCATGTAACCCAAACCATGTCAACTAGAGTTTTCTCTACGGGAAAACTATGGGACCTGGGAAAGAGCGAGTTTCCCTTCCTCTGTGATTATGAGCTGCAATATCCATGTAAGCCTGGAGCTAAGGATAGCCAAATCTGCTGCACAGAAAGAGTATGCCTGAATCAACAAAAAGGGAAACAGAGTCTAGAGATGGGGGGGGCGGTTAGAGCCTGAGAACGTATTTTAGGCATCTGGAATCAGCTATGCCTGAAGCCACACTCCTTCTAGACTTTTCAGTTACAAGAGCCAATAATATATTTGTTGTTGTTGTTGCTTAAGCTAATATGAAAGTTTCTACCCCTGCAACCAAAAGATCCCTGATTAATACAATATATGAAAAAAAAGGAGATGATGTGATGTATCTATCAAATTTATCTACATAACTCTCATTATCCACACTCACTTTGAGGAAGCAGTCATTTGAACCAGTGGCTAAGAGAAGGTGATTACTATTGTTGGTGAAGTGGCAGCAATTGACTTGCTCTGAGTGCTCGTCATAGGTATGTACTAGTTCCCCAGACATAGACTTCCAAATCTAAAGAGAATAGAGAAAATAAAATTTACAAGTACCCCTTATTTTCAAAGAGAAAACAGAGAGGCAAAGCAAATGTGAGCTGTTTTGCAGATTTTCCCAGACATGATACTAATGAATACCTCCCCCTTCCCTAAATTATGTCAGCATTTTGCCAGAATGTTTTTTTTTTAAATTACCTGCAAGTCTACCTGCAAGTAATGTAAAACATTACATTTTTCAAAGGCAAGATTTCACATGTTCATATGACTTGACAGCAGGCAGAAAAGTGCTATAAAAGGGATGGAATAATGGACTTCAGATCAGAAAAATTAATCAGAGCCAATCTAAGACCTGGCTCTACCACTTATAAGTTGTGTGTCCCTAGTCAAGTCCTTAATTTACCTGCATTTCAGTTCCCCCCTCTGTAAAATGGGGACACTTGTACCCATCTTACACAATGCATGGTGTCAAATGACAAAGAATTTGATAAGTGTTCTGCTGACTTCAAGGTACTAATAAATAAGTAAAGGCAAATGGCTCAGTGAAAAAAAATAAAGGCTTTAGATTCTGAGGGAAACCTAGCTTTCAACCCTGGTGACATCAGGCATTAGTTAATATGAGCCTGGGCAAATGACTTCATCTCTGAACCTGTTTCCTCATCTCTAAAATGGGATCAACACTTACTTTGCAATTGTAGTGAGAAATTGATAATGTAATATAAGAAAGTGTGTAGTATAAAGCCTCATGCAGTGTTCTCAGTAAAAAGTAATCATTTTCCTAGTTACTATGTAAGTAGTCTGTTTCATCAAACAAACAAAAGAAATAAATTACCTAATGAATGTTCACTGGGCTTTTGGACTTTTAGAGATACTAATGTCCCTCCCATAGCATTTTCTTTTATCTTATCAAAGCACTCTCCAGAGATCCAAAGAGTTTATTTTATTTTAAAGTTCTGTAATAAGTATTTCCGCCTCTTGCTTTAAATTTCTTACAAATAGAAACTTGAGCCACATAGCTCTGACTCTGGAACACCACACAATGGCCAGCTCCAAGTCTGACTCAGAATAGAGGTTATAGAGTGAATTAACTGGTTGGTTGTAAAGCCACTTGGGAGAGTCCAATCTATCAAGAAGATTTTTCCAAAGTCTCAATTTAGTCTGGACACTCCGGGGTCCTCTTCAAGTAGATGCAAACTCCACAAAAACTCTCAAGCCAACTTTCTTGCTCCCAGGTCCACTAAGGCCCACCCCACCTAAACAGATTCAGCATTCCACACCCCTTTTGAAAAAAGCCCAAAATGAGGTCTCCCCTCCATTTATCAAATAAAATATTCCCCTAGACTTCACTTTCTCTTAAATTCCATAAAAATGCTCTGGCTAAAAGCCAAATTTAGGGACAAGAAACAAAAAAAAGAATAATTAACAAAGATAAAAATTACCCTGTGAGTTTTCTCTTCTCTGTTTACTTTGTAGACTAGTAACCTGATGGTTAGTATGTTTATTCATCTAGTTTTGCATTGAATGTAAGCCAGCTCATAAAGGTAAAAAAAAATCTGGGTTGCATTTCACAAATTATATATTTTACAACAGGAATCGATCTCAGACAATAATTTTGTGCAGCAACACTTCCGACCACAGTACACTTAGAGATTTCAACTGATATTTAACCCACAGACCTGTCAATAAGTGTCAGGCAAATTCATTAATCTGAAATTGTGTTTCCCAGCTGCCTGATAAATATAAATATCAGCTGTGTTTCCTAGGCTAATCAACCTAGGCATTTTTGCTTGTGCTTAAAAATAAAAAGTTTTAGACAGAATTTACAATGGATAAAACTGGTTTGCCTCAAGTTAGTAGATCAATAGGCAAGAGTCCTTTAACTCTACTTACTCTAGTCCCTCTATTACAGAAAAAGAAAATAAATTCTGTGGTGATTACAACTCAAGAGGAAAATATTTCCCTACCTTCACTTTTTTATCCACTGAGCAGGTTGCTATAAATCTGTCATCTGCAGAAAATGCACAGCAAAGCACTTCATCCTCATGAGCCTTGATTTCTAGAAGTTTCTCTCCTGTTTCAGCTTTGAAAACCTATATAAGCAACAATAAAATCTTTTTACTATACCTGTTTAACCATGGGCCGTCATTCAATAAAAACATTTCTTTAAAAGATCTTTATCACTGTTATTTTGCAACAGAAATGAACCTTGGCAATATCACTGCAAAAATGAGAATTTCTGTCAGAATTCGTATGCCTTAACATAAAAAGAAAATCATCCTGCCCCCCCCCCCCAAAAAAAAAAAAAAAAAGGAACTTCCCTGGTGGTCCAGTGGTTAAGACTCCACGCTCCCACTGCAGGGGGCCTGGGATCGATCCCTGGTCAGAGAAGTAAGATCCCGCCTGCCGCATAGTGCAGCAATCAATCAATAGAGCTGACAGTAGCTTCAGTTCTTGAGAACAGTTTGGCAAATTCTTAACAATCAGTAGAAAACACTTCATTCAATATGCTTTCTGCGCTCAAAAGCCAAAATTAATAAAAGCAGTAATAAAGTACACATATAGAAATAAGGCTTACAAACATAATCTTGCGATCTTAAATTTAAATGTTTTAACTAGTTTTTGTTTCCTTCAAAATCAAAAGGTTGAGTACCAATTTAAAGAAAAGCACTCATGTTTTCTGAAAACAAATGAGAAATTAAAATTCCTTCAAGCGCCTAAGGAAATATCTAGTCCAATTCCTCTTTACAGTCAGAAATCTATGCCCGAGCCTATGATAAAATAGGTATTTTACACAGTCACTGTTTTGTTTTTTGTTTTTTTTTTGCAGTACGCGGGCCTCTCACTGTTGTGGCCTCTCCCGTTGCGGAGCAACAGGCTCCGGACGCGCAGGCTCAGCGGCCATGGCTCACGGGCACAGCCGCTCCGCGGCATGTGGGATCTTCCCGGACCGGGGCACGAACCCGTGTCCCCTGCATCGGCAGAAGGAATCTCAACCACTGCGCCACCAGGGAAGCCCCACAGTCACTGTTTTTTAATCAGAGTCCTGTTCACTGTGCTATGAAGTCCTTATGTCTTTTAACAGTTATCATTTCCTCATTACCCTTAGCTGTCACATGGATCACAAGAACTGACTGCTAGGGTAAAAGGCACTTCTATGTCACTTGGCAAGTTTAGAATTATGAAAATACACCACCATATCTTTTAAATCTATAGAGAAAGCTTTCATAAAGTGTTCAAGAGATCTGAACATTTCTCTATTCCTAATGTGCAATTTTCTTGAATTTTAGAATTTAAATATATTCTAACATGCACAGTATTAGGTGCATGACTCTTTGAATTTTTCTCAAGAGATAGGTTTACCTGCAAGTTTTTATCAGCTCCACAAGAAGCTATTCTTTGACCATCCTCAGAAAAGCAAGCATGGTACACAGCATCTGTATGGGGGCGGACGACCAAGCGGGAGAGATTCTTGATGTTTTCTTTGTTTCTAAATATAAGGGAAAAAATGAACAGAAATCCAATAAACAAGAGTAAAAGTAATTATTTTCTTTCAGTAATGAACTGTCTTTTAACATAGTTATGTTCCAAAAAACACAAAACTCTTAAAATTAAATTACCAATATGTAAATGACAGCACACACCACCTGAGGGAAAAAAGCATAATATAACAAAAGCAGCATTTTAAGATAAATGCTACGCTATATCAAGCAACCTGTCATGTACTACAAATATCACTGAGTTGGAAGAAATCTAGTTAATCAAATACATGTCAGTTTTTATTTTCCTCTAATACATTAATAACAACATGTGCAGAGAAAACATTATAAGAGGATAACCTCAAAAAAATCTCCATCTTTTTCAAAAGGAAAGAGCTATAGCAAAATGAAGCTCATTTTCTAACTAAAGTATGACACTACACCCACCATTATGATGTGCACTTTAAAACCATTCTTTTCTAACTACAATTATTCAGATATAGAGAAAAAAAGTAATGTCATTTTCTTTGTATCTTAATCTACTAAATACTAAGTATTGCACTAGTAAAGATATTATTTCACAAAGGCAAAAGGGTAAAGGAATGTGATGTATACTTAAAACGGGGAAAGTATTAGAACAGTGTCAGAATTCCACATACATACACCCCAGCCACTGTGGGTAAATATGTTAAGTGGTATCATGCTTATCTTAAGAGGAAAAGGTTAGGCGTCAGATAAACCTAAAGGGCAACCCTGCTTCTACTACTTATTAGGTGTGTAAACTTATGCAAATTACTTAACCTAGTAAGTTTCCTTTTCCTCATATGTAAAATGTGAGTAATGATACCTGCTCTGAACAGGTATCACACACAAGACAGACCAAATGAAAAAAGGGAACACAAAGGCAGATCAGACTTAAACCTTGCCTAGAAAGTATTAAACTTCACTAGAATTGATAAAACAAACAACTGTAAAAACTAGAGTGATGAGAATCTGGAGGATAAACAGGTAAGCTACTGGCAAAGTTTAGAGAATCAGATTAAGAAAATATGTCCCCCGATCTATCTACTCAATTCCTCAAAGCTCGGAAAGTGACCTGTCACAATGATGGGCATGTGGCCAAAAAGTATTAGATAAATAACAAATGAATGCATGAACGATTTCTTTGAAAGATGAAACTCAAATTACGTTTATACCAACCTAAACTTTCTACAGAAGAAAAAAAAAGCTTTCTAGTACTGAAAAATAAAGCATTCTTTGAATATGACCTGGTCAAACCCAGTTAAAAAGATACAGCTATTAATGACTAACCATCCTATGAGAGAACATCACAGGTTGAAATGCAGTTGATGAAGCGGAAAAAAAAAAAAACAGCAAGAAAAAGTAAAAATAACAAACTCAACGTTCAAAAGAGAACAAGAACTAAACCAACGCCCATCTGATTATCAGACCAAGTATCACAATTCTATTTTAGTCACTAACTAAAACATGAATTCAGTCAATCTTCTACAAATTTCTCTTAAATATCAACTACATGGACCAGGCAAAATGCTAAATGCTATTTATCCTTTTCTTTTTTTTAAATAACTTTATTTATTTTTTATCTATTTTTATTTTATTTTTGGCTGCATTGGGTCTTCGTTGCTGCGTGTGGGCTTTCTCTAGTTGCGGCGAGCAGGGGCTACTCTTCATTGTGGTGCGCAGGCTTCTCATCGCGGTGGCTTCTCTTGTGGCGCACAGGCTCTAGATGCACAGGCTTCAGTAGTTGTGGCACGCGGGTTTCAGCAGTTGTGGCTCACGGACTCTAGAGCACAGGCTCAGTGCTGTGGCGCACAGGCTTAGTCGCTCCGCAGCATGTGGGATCTTCCCAGATCAGGGCTAGAACCCGTGTCCCCTGCATTGGCAGGCAGATCCTTAACCACTGCACCAAGGAAGCCCTATCCTTTTCTTTTTTAATCTTTTTTTTTTTTTTTTTTTGGCCACACCACGTGGCTTGCAGGATCTTACTTCCCCAAACAGGGATAGAACCCAGGCCCTCGGCAGTGAAAGCACAGAATCCTAACCACTGGACCACCAGGGAATTCCCTAAATGCTATTTATTCTTAAAAACAACAACTAACATTCATTGAGCACTTTCTATGATCTAGGTACTGTTCTAAGCAACCTATGTAGGTGTGTATGTTTGTGTATACACACACACTCATTTAATCCTCACAACAATGCTATGAATAGTACCACTAGGCAAGATAAGTTGAATAACTTTCTCCTAATGATACACAACTAAAAAATAGCAGAGCTGGGATTCAAGCCCAAGTGGTCTAGAGCCAGAGTCTGTTATTTTAACCTCCAAACGTTCTATACTACAGAATGGATAGAAATTATGGGAAAAAACAAGTAAACAGAAAACCACCGTAAAATGACACAATGCTATGATATTGAGTAAACAAGTATTCTAGAATACAGACAGATCTCAATTAATTAGGTGGCTGCTTCCAGGGAGAGTGAAACCTCTTCCCAAAAAAATGTTAAAGAATGGTGAACTCTGGGAAGTGAGAAGGTAGGGGAACATAAAGAGTCTCTGACTTTTCATTTTACATCCCTCTAACACTGATTTTAAAAAAAAAAATCAGGAACATGGATTGCTTTAAAACAAAAATAAAATCAATGAAAAATTAAAATTTAATTTTTTGAGGAATTCCCTGGTGGTCCAGTGTTTAGGACTTGGCACTTTCACTGCCGTGGGCCCGGGTTCAATGCTTGGTCAGGGAACTAAGATCCCACAGGTTGCACGGTGCAACCAAAAAAGTAAAATAAAATAAAATAAAAATAAATAATAAAATTTAAAAAAATAAAATAAAATTTAAATTTTTTTAATTTAATTTTGAATTAAAAAAAATTTTTTTTAACTCTCTCCTTTACGGAACCTTACCAGAATCCCTCATCCATCCAAGCTAAATTACCCACTTCTCAGTTTTACCTCTATTTTATACATTACTTCTGTCGCATTTATCACATTATAATTATCTGTTTAAACTTCTTTCTTCACTAGTAGATTGTAGGCTCCTTGGGCAGAGCCTTAGCACCTAGTAACAGTGCTTTAGCACAGTAGAGAAACTCAAATATTTATTGAACTAAACTGAATTAGGGAAACCACCTATGGCAACCTGAATTATTTGGAAAGAAGGTCCAGGGCTATATAGATCACAGACGATATCAACCAGGAGGTCAATTTAGATATAAATTATACATGTGAAAAGACGACCATTCATACTTATCAAAAGGAGCATGAAAATAAAGCCAGACCCACAGTTTAAATCACATTTAGCAAGCCACATGAGCTCAGTCAAGTCTCAACCTCTCTGTGCCTCAATTTTCTCATTTGTAAAGTAGGGCAAATAATATTTACGTTATAAGGTTGTTTTGAAGATAAAATGAACAATGTATGTGAGCATACAGTATATAATAGGCATTAAAAAGATAGCAGTCTTACCCTTTCTTTTACAAATTGATAAGATAAGAACACAACTGAATGGCCTCTTAGGAGCTAGAAGAATCAGGATTCAGTGGAAGTTTAATATGGGCTATATGCAAGGCAAAGTTCTCATCACTTTATATCCAATATCTGATTTAAATCTTCACAAAAACAGCACTTACCTCAAAGGATTGTTATCTCTATTTCACGTATGAGAAAGAAGAGTAACCTGTAACTTGTTCAAAATCACAAAACTCTTAGGTTTTAGAACTGAGTCTCAAACCTAGGTTTGTAGCTTCAAAAACAATGCTCTTTGCTACTATACTGTATTACAGTAAGTGAAGCATTTATATTAATATTTAGGATGACTTGTCAAAAGTCATCTTATAGGCAAGCATCTATTTTTATGGACTCTGAAAATATGTATTTCTCCTATGGTTACTTCTCTAGAAATTTTCAATAAGTAAGAATGCTTATTAAAAGTTTGAGCCCTATCCAAAGTAGTTAAGTCTTCCTGGAGTGAACTTATTCACTACCTGAAAAATAATGACACAGTTAGTGCTGTTCCCTTTGGTTTCTCTCCTAACCTACTTACATCCATTCCAAGTAAAGCATTCCGTTATCGACCTCCTGCTTGGCCTTCAGCTTAGCTTGCTGATAAACTTCTGAAGTTTCCAGTTCACAGAGGCCCAGTTGTACAATATTAGGAAATGGCTGTCGTCCAAGAAGATGTCCATTTAAAGATAAAAACTCCTGGAAATTCTCACAGACTGTACCATCCTATGAACAAAATGAAATCTCTTAGAAATGTAACCAGAGCCCAAATCTGACATTTTTTTGTTTCTGTGATTTTGTCACTTTAAAGGCTTAAATATTCTCTATACGAGCTAAAATTAAATAGCCAACCATTAAGTAACAAATACATAGTGATCCTCTTCGGACTTTTAAACATAGGGTTAAAAAAAAAAAATCTCATTATCTAAGTGCTACCTTCTTAACACATTCCCTTTCCTAAAAAAAACACCAAACACTTTACTTCCCCAGCTTTCAAACCTCAATCCTATCCACAGCAGGAGAGGAAGCAAAATAATTAGAATAATCAAAGATTAAGTAAGGAAATTATCACTCTTCACCTCTGCTATTTTGTTCATCCTCACTATTAAACCTAGAATTAAATGTCAAAATGAGATGTCCTTTAAGGACTTATTTTTCATAATAATATATACCTTTTCATCCAACATATGCCTGTATTCCACAAATTCATGAATCAGATGAGCAGGGCCTACGAGCTCCGTTTTTGCTTTAATCCAATCCAGGGAAAACATTAAAGCACACAGTTCCTTAAAAAAAAAAAAAGATCAGAAGCACTGTTAAAGAGATCAAAGAATTTTAAATCTACCATCATTATCCTAACACTAATGAGAAAAACTTAGCAGATGCCTAGAATTTAAGGACAAAAAGGAACATATCATTAATAGTTCCAAAGAAACAAAAAATGGACCTCACACCTTAATTCAAAATAAATTTCAGATGGATTTTTCAGACTTAAATATAAAATAGAAACTTCAAAAAATACTAGAAGAGGGCTGCCCTGGTGGCGCAATGGTTAAGAATCCACCTGCCAATGCAGGGGACACAGGTTTGAGCCCTGGTCCAGGAAGATCCCACATGCTGCAGAACAACTAAGCCCATGCGCCACAACTACTGAGCCTGCGCTCTAGAGCCCGCAAGCCACAACTACTGAAGCCCACGCGCCTAGAGCCTGTGCTCCCAACAAGAGAAGCCACCGCAATGCGAAGCCCACGCACCACAACGAAGAGTAGCCCCCGCTCGCCGCAACTAGAGAAAGCCCTCATACAGCAAGGAAGACCCAAAAAAAAGCAGCCAAAAATAAAATAAATAAATTTAATTTAATTTAAAAAAAATACTAGAAGATACAAATATTTACTATTTTTGTAACCCTGGGGTTAAGGAAATTTTTAAACATGACCCCAAAGCAAAATACCGAAAAGAAAAATAGTGGTGCATTTAACTACATAAAAACTCAAATGTTCAATATAGTAAAAAACAATATAAATAAAATTTAAGACAAAAAATAAACCAGGAAAAAAATTTATTTACAAATGTATGATAGATGAAAGCTTAATATTTTTATAAAAAATTCTAATAAAAGAGTAAGAAACAGATAAACACTCCAATAGAAAAACAGGCAAAGGCAATCAATGGATGAGAGCCAATTCACAAAATAAAAAGCACAAATAGCCAAAAATCTCACCAGTAATCAAAGAGAAACAACGAAGATTTACTACCTTTTAACATCAGATTTCTAAAGACTAAAAGGAATGATAAAAATGTTAGCTAGAATCAGAGGAAAGGAACACCCTCATACACTGCTGGTAGTGATGTAAATCAGAGCACCCTTCTAGAGGACAGTTTAGCAATTTGTATTAAAATTCAAACTGTACACATCATTGACCCAGAATTACACTTATGTGCCCTAAAAAAATAAGTCAGACAAGTGTGCTTAAGCAATCTGACCATCCACCAACCAACTGACCAATCATAATGTACCTATACAATTAAATAGTATGCAGCTTTAAAAATTATGTCAATCTATTATATATAAACTGACATAGAAAGATAACCCTGAACTACAATTAAGTAGGAAAAACAAGATATAAGACTACATTTCTATCATGATCCCATTCTGGTTTTAAAGAACAGGTGTGTGTATCTGAGCAGCAAAATGATCTGGAAAACTACACATAAAAGCATTAGCGGGCTTCCCTGGTGGCGCAGTGGTTGAGAGTCCGCCTGCCGATGCAGGGGACACAGGTTTGTGCCGTGGTCTGAGAAGATCCCACATGCCGCAGAGCGGCTGGGCCCATGAGCCATGGCCGCTGAGCCTGCGCGTCCGGAGCCTGTGCTCCACAACGGGAGAGGCCACGGCAGTGAGAGGCCCGCGCACCAAAAAAAAAAAAAAAAAAAAAAGCATTAGCAATGGTTGTGATCTTCATTTTCTTCTTCATTTAGTTTTTTCCTCAATTTTTCCAATGAAAGTAAACTATTATCTTTAAAAATCAGGAAAAAAAGGTTAAAAAAAAAATGAAAGGAACTGAATCCTGTCACACTACCATACATATCAAAAGTTTTTAAAAGATGCATTGACCCAATAATTCCACTTCAAGAAATTTCCAAAGGAAATAATACAGGTGTGAAGATAAACAAGAATTTCACTACAGCATCATAAGAGTAAAAAAAAAAAAAAAAAAAGAAAGAAAACAACCTAAGTGTTCAACAATTAAAGTTCAGCTAAGTAAATCAGAGTACAGATATTTATTGGAATACTGTCATTCCAATGTAGATTATTAAACGTAAACTGTATGTAACCAAGAGATTAAAGTACATAAGACTGAAAAATTATTCAAAGTATATATGGGTTTTTTTTAACATCTTTATTGGAGTATAATTGCTTTACAATGGGGTATTTCTGCTTTACGACAAAGTCAATCAGCTATACATATGCATATATCCCCATATCTCTTCCCACTTGCGTCTCTCTCCCTCCCACCCTCCCTATCCCACCCAAGTGGTCACAAAGCACAGAGCTGATTTCCCTGTGCTATGCGGCTGCTTCCCACTAGCTATCTATTTTGCATTTGGTAGTATATATATGCCCATGCCACTCTCTCACTTTGTCCCAGCTTACCCTTCCCCCTCCCCGTGTCCTCAAGTCCATTCTCTAGTAGGTCTGCATCTTTATTCCCATCTTGCCCCTAGGTTCTTCATGACCATTTTTTTTTTTTTTTTTAGATTCCATATATATGTGTTAGTATACGGTATTTGTTTTTCTCTGACTTACTTCACTCCGTATGACAGACTCTAGGTCTGTCCACCTCACTAAAAATAACTCAATTTTGTTTCTTTTTATGGCTGAGTAATATTCCATTGTATATATGTGCCACATCTTCTTTATCCATTCATCTGTCGATGGACACTTAGGTTGCTTCCATGTCCTGGCTATTGTAAATAGAACTGCAATGAACATTGTGGTACATGACTCTTTCTGAATTATGGTTTTCTCAGGGTATATGCCCAGTAGTGGGATTGCTGGGTCATATGGTAGTTCTATTTTTATTTTTTTAAGGAACCTCCATACTGTTCTCCATAGTGGCTGTATCAATTTACATTCCCACCAGCAGTGCAAAAGGGTTCCCTTTTCTCAAAGTATATACGGTTTTCTAAAATGTTAACATTGTGAGTAGTTAATTGGTAGTCATAACTTCAAATATCTATGTGCTGATGATTCCCAAATTTTATCTTTAGTCCATAGTTTTCCCCAGAAATCCAGATTCATATATCCAACGATATGCTAAATATATCCAGTCAGATGTCTTAATGTGTACACCAGACTTAATATATTCCAAATGAGTTCCTAACCTTCCCTTCACTCCTGGTAAAATACTTGTTTGACCCACAGCTACCCCAAACTCAGTTCATGGCAACTCCAATCTTTGAACTGCACAAGCTTGGAGTCATCTTTGACTCTTCTCTTTTTCTTACAATGTACATCAAATCCATCAGCAAATCATGATGACTCAATGCCAAATCATCACTTCCTTTCTCTTTGCACACTTTTTTCTTCTTCTGAGCACTTACTACCCCGCTAACATATGATAAATTTATCTGTCCCGTGTCAATCTCCCCCCAGAATGTAAGCTCAATGAGAGCAGGGACTTTGTGCCTGTGGTATATCCTTCATAATGAAGAACACCATCAGTACACAACAGGCACTCCATAAATATTTGCTGAATGAATGAATATACTTTCCCACTCTCCATTTCCTCTCAGAACTTAAAAACAAATCCATATTGTCCACAAAGGATAGCTATTGGTATGAAGAGACTGAATTTTTAGGTGGTTCATTTACTGCAGTTACTTAGGTACCTGCAGGTAAAAACAGTAACAAAATTACTTACACAGGTTATAACCCTATTTTTACTAATAAAAGAAAATTCTAAACAAGGGACAAAATAAAAGTGAGATAAAAGAAAACAGTTTTTTAAATGAGTAATCTTACTTTGTGCATTTTAGCACTAGCCATGTGATAGGCCAGAAAATTGTACCAATACATGCAGTCCTCCTGATCCGGTGAAAGACAATGTAGCCGGAAATGTCTCTGGAACTGAGTGATTAGTTTCTTGTGTAGATCCTGAAACCCAAATGAAACATTTCAGAGGACAGAAACAATTTCATAACCTAAGCATCACAGAAACTCCAGCTTCCAAAGCTATTTAAGAATGTACAGAGAATCTCCCCACAAGATACTTATTAACTACAAAAGAAAAAAAACAGTAACTTTACAGTTGAGAAACTTTAACCAAGTAATCAATGTTAATATCACTGATTAGACGTGTCAACACCCTGATATGATGCACTGAGAAGGACACAACAGCACTTCTGTGGTGTTATTGCCAAAAATATATAACCTTACTCTAGTCAAGAGAAAACATCAGACAAACCCAAACTAAGAGGGGCTTCCCTGGTGGCGCAGTGGTTGGGAGTCCGCCTGCCGATGCAGGGGACATGGGTTCGTGCCCCGGTCCGGGAAGATCCCACATGCCGCGGAGTGGCTGGGCCCATGAGCAATGGCTGCTGAGCCTGCGCGTCCGGAGCCTGTGCTCCACAACGGGAGAGGCCACAACAGTGAGAGGCCGGCATACCGCAAAAAATAATAATAATAAAAAATAAAAGAATCTGCCTGACAATGCAGGGGACATGGGTTCAAGCCCTGGTCTGGGAAGGTCCCACATGCTGCAGAGCAACAAAGCCCATGCGCCATAACTACTGACCCTGAGCTCTAGAGCCCACGGGCCACAACTACTGAAACTCACGTGCCTAGAGCCTGTGCTCCACAACAAGAGAAGCCACTGCAATGGGAAGCCCATGCACCACAACAAAGAGTAGCCCCCCTCTCCACAACTAGAGAAAGCCCCTGCGTAGCAATGAAGACCCAAAACAGCCAAAAATAAATTAATTAATTTAAAAAAAAAAAAAAACAAACTAAGGGACACTGTGCAAAATAACTAGTGAGTACTCTTCAAAAGTGATCATGAAAGAAAGAAAATCAAGGAATTTTCCTAGATTTGAGGAAATTAAGGAAACATGATGATATTATGCAATATAGAATACAGAATTGGATCTGAACCACAAAAAAGGACATTAGTGGGAAAGCTGGCAAAATTCAAATAAAGTCTGAGTATTAGTTAACAGTATTGTATCAATGTTAATTTTCTGGCTCTCATAACTGTATTATAGTTATGTAAGATGTTAACATTGGGGGAAGCTAGATGAAAGTACATGCATAGAAACTATTATTTTGCAACTTTTCTATAAGTCTAAAATCATTTCAAAATTAAAAGTTAAAAAAAAAAAGAACGTACAGAGATGCAAGTACCTGAAGCTGGCTGTGATTCTTCTGTGTAAGGAAATCTACTTGAAGATCATGTAAATAATAAAGAAATGATTTTCCATTTCGATCACAGAACAAGAGAGACTTATTAACAAACTCCTGCAGTATGTCTTCAACTTCTTCAGTTTCCATATCCCAGAGGATACACAACACCTAGGAATCATTTTAAACATTTAATGTGCCACAATGTACAATGACCAGGATTGAACACAGGAGGTTAACAGACAAAAAATCATGTGTTAGGGCTTCCCTGGTGGCACAGTGGTTAAGAATCCGCCTGCCAATGCAGGGGACACAGGTTCGAGCCCTGGTCTGGGAAGAACCCACATGCCCCAGAGCAACTAAGCCCATGCGCCACAACTACTGAGCCTGCGCACCTAGAGCCCGTGCTCCAAAACAAGAGAAGCCACCACAATGAGAAGCCCGCACACCGCAACAAAGCGTAGCCCCCACTCACCGCAACTAGACAAGCCCACGCAAAGCAACGAAGACCCAACACAGCCAAAAATAAATAAAACAAATAACTTTTTTAATTGTATTAAAAACATCCTGTATTAAAGCCCTGAATAATATCTCCATTTCATAAGAAGCTCAAATACTCATCAAGACAGAAAAGAAAAAGAGTTCTAAAGAAGTCATATGCTTCTCCAGGTTCACTAGAACCACTGAGAACTAGGTAACTCATCTGAGTTCAACACCAAAGCCCATGATGGAAACTAAGAACAGTGGGATTTCTACACCCTCCAGTCCACCACCCTCAGGTACACAGGTTTTATCCTCCCAATATCCTCTGTAACAATATCCTCAGGAGTAAACCAAAGGTTATATGCCACAATACCCAATGATAAAGATTGTTGGTCCTTCTATTACCTTCGTAGGCACCTTAACATCTTTCTGAAGGATGGAAAGATCTGTGTAATAATCTTTGATGTCTTCTCTGAGCATTTCAACACTTATAGACATGGCTTCATCCAAAGCCTCATAATCATACGATGAAGATTTCCTTATCTTCTTAAATTGCTTATTCTGAAGTTGCCTGAGGTAGTACTCCCAGCGGTTGGGAAAATCTCGTAAAAGTGCACCAATTAAAGACACTACAAGAGGTGAACCTAAAAAATAAAAAAAGTCAGTGTTATTACGGTATCATTTCCAAATTACCACTAAGAATCAATTTATCCTCAAGAAAGAATTTCTGCCGCATGCTATCCAAAGCTTTAAAATATTTATAACTCTTGGATTCACTTCAGGTACTTATCCTAAAGAAGTCATTAGAAATAAGAAATATTTCACTTAAGGATATTCATTACAGTATTTAAAATAGTGAAAAATCTTAAACAATAACAGGGAAATGACTGAATAAAGTATATCACAATATTATGCCACTGGTAAATTTTCAAAAGATATTTAATAACATGGGAAAATGCTCAAGATTTGCTATTAAAAAGGGTAAGATTGAAAATTATACATACCATTATAATCTCAATATTTTTTTCAAGGTTTTATATGTCCTGAAAGACTAGGAGAAATACTCTCATGATGCTAATAATTATCAGATTATGGATAATTTCTATTTTTTCTTTTTAAGTGTTTCAAAATGCACATGCATCACCTTCATAATGAATACAAATCAAGTATTTCTTCCTAAGGTTGAGATACTTTTTAAAAGTCAATTAACTCAAAAACAAGTTTGATGGAAGAAAGAAAAACAAGAAACTATTTCCAAGCATTAACAATGATGGAAAAAATAATCTTAAGAGCTGATAGATTTGACTATATAAAATTTTAAATTTCTGTGTGTCAAAAAAATACTACAAATGAAATTAAAAGGCAGACACAACTAGAAGAAAAACAGTTGGAAAAAATATGACAAAAGGTTAATAGTTTCCATAGAGTGTCAAAAAAATCAATGAAAAATACTTATATCACAAAAGTGAGTCAAGGATAATTTTTTTTTTTAAATAAATTTATTTATTTATTTTTGGCTGCACTGGGTCTTCATTGCTGCACAAAGGCTTTTCTCTAGTTGCTTCGAGCAGGGGCTACTCTTCGTTGTGGTGCGCAGGCTTCTCATTGCGGTAGCTTCTCTTGTTGTGGAGCACAGGCTCTAGGGGCACGGGCTTCAATAGTTGTGGCACACAGGCTCAGTAATTGTGGCTCGCAGGCTATAGAGCGCAGGCTCAGTAGTTGTGGCGCACGGGCTTAGTTGCTCCACAGCATGTGGAATCTTCCCACACCAGGGTTCGAACCCGTGTTCCCTGCATTGGCAGGTGGATTCTTAACTACTGCGCCACCAGGGAAGTCCAGGATAATTTCTTAAAATGCAATATTCAATAAAAAAGTTTAACTTCACTATTTAAAAATGCAAATTAAGAAGACAGCACCAGTTTTTACTTATCAAATTAGAACATTATTTTTATAAAATCCCAACCAGGGAATTCCCTGGCAGTCCAGTGGTTAGGACTCCATGCTTTCATTGTGGTGGCCCAAATTCAACCCCTGGTCAGGGAACTAAGATCCCAAAAGCCACGCAGCACAGTCAAAAAATAAAAAATAAAAAAATAAAATCCCAACCAAAAAAATTTTAAACTGTGACTCTCACTACATTTTTTATTCTTTGACAACAGAGGTCATGTCTTCATCTTACCCCTTTCATAACATATTGTGGGTGTTTGTTAAATATTATTTTAACTAAAGAATGAATACCAAAATATCACTATCCATGTAGGGTATCAGAGAAGAACCTAAAATACTAAATATTCTAGTAAAGTTTTTGGATGTTCATGTGTTAAACTGTTATGTTCATTAGCTTAACTTACAAAAGGGTAAATTAATATCTCTATAACCCCCTCATACACAAAATAAATAACTATACCTTTACATTCTTTTATAATACTGTGAGCTTGTTCTGGCAAATCTGCTTTCTTCATATTAACAAAAAGGGATAAAATTTCAAGTCCTTTTTCTTTTCCTAAACCACTCTCCACAGGGACTACATATTTAGGACCTGTGAAATCACAAGACATAGTAAGCAATTTGGTATGCCACATATTTAAATGTAACTGAATTATTATAAAAAGCAAATTAATAATCCTTACCCATTACTGAATCTGTAACACTCTTGTCTCTGGTTGTAAGAAGAATCTGACACTGATTGTCAAAAGCTTTTAACACCCAAGGATCCCAAACATCATCCAAAATCAACAGAGACCTTAATAAGAAAAAACCGTATTGAGTCACTAATGACATTTATTTTAAACTTCCTTTTAAAAAAAGAGAATGCCACCAGTGTTTTCTTAAAATTTACAAAATTAAAAAAAAATAGATGTCTATTTCATGGTTCTTTCTCTTTTCTTTGGTATCCCTTTCACAATATACCAATAAGGAAAAGAAAATTAGAGACTTTCCCTTCCTTCTACCCCAAATTACTGCATATTAAAGTTAAAGGACTTATAAAAAGAGAACTGTGTATACTTTATTATAAGTATTAGAAATAAGCCTCCTAGTGCCTAAAAAGAACTATCCAAGTAATGAGATTTTTCCAATTCAGTCTTTAATCACCCAAACCAAGCAAGAACTGGGCTTAGGTTAGCATTAGAAAGCATCACAGAACAATGACAATATTTGACCATTTTACCTACAAAACTAGCAATTTCATATGTCCCAACCTAACTGAATGCACCAGCAAATATTACTTTTCACTTGGTACACTAGTGGGCTTTTTTTCCATCCAAGAAATCAATTTGTTTACGCATAATGACAAAGAATCTGTGTGCTAATTCCTAATCAGCCCCTCCAAAAAACTTTTTTAAACTCGTCAGAACAAATGGAGAAAATAATACAACTAAAACCTGACAGCATAATTATACACTAGCGTTATTATCTGAATGGCATACTACTTCTGTACACTACAAAAAAAGACTCTAGGAATATACACAGGCTGGAAAATTACAAAAACATAAACCAAAATGATGCTGAGAGAGAAACAAAATGACTTTATATGCCATGATCTGATACATCTGAGAGTGGTTACAATATTTTCCTACACAGGAATCATTTTTATTTTTGCAAAGAAAGTAGAACTAAGGAGAAGTTACTGATCAAGAAAAGAGGAAGTGGTTAGTGGTCTCAATCCCATTTCTGCAGGAAAATGGATACTAGTGACTATCAAGGGGAGGGGGAGATAACAGAGGGATCTGGAAGAGAAAGAAGCCAGAGAGAAGGGAGCTTGCCCTCCGTAATGAGTATCCATCATAATCACTAGGAGGCTTTTTCCCAAAATTATTCCTCTCACCCAATATTCTGATATGAATCCCCTTACCAATTTGGGGAAGCACTACCATATTCAGCCACTACTACACATGAAAGTATACAGCATCATCAGGTGCATGGGGGCAATAAAAAAAACTTCAGAGCCATTACCTAATTCTCACCCAATTTACTGTTATACTCGCAAGGAATGCTTTATTAATCTTTGTACTTGTAGCACTTGACCCAGAACCTGGCACGACACTCAATGTTGGTTAAATGAACAAATAAAATAGCTGCTAGGTGGCAGAAATCAAATTGTTGACTAAATCCCTTAACTCTTAACAAAGATAGCAACTCAGTTGCTGCCTCCCTTTGGCTAATGAAAACTGTGATATAGCTGACAACAGTGCCTGGCACATAATTATAATGGCATTTATTTAATAAATTAATTAATTATTGAAATAAACAAAACAAACTCTTAAAGTACTTGGAAGTAGAAGAGTTACGTGTATACCCAAAAAGTAAGAGAACACAGTAGAAGGGTCCCTTTAAATAAATAATCCTTCCTGACTCAGTCTTTTACAAGTTGCCTGCATGCATTTATTCTGTCTCTTGTTCTGTGTTAATCTATTAGAAATAATGTATTCAAGGTAAAAAGTCTGCATCTTTTAACAAAGACCATTCACCAACTCACCTACTTAAGAAATATTTCTTGAGAGCCTACAATGGCACACAAGAGAGAATTGGCAGGTACGATGCAAAGGTCAGTGGCAGACACTTTTTTTTAATACAAGAGAGAGGAAGAGCAGGAAGGCAATGGTTCTTTCTTAGACCCTCTACTCAACAGCAAGAAAAGGCTATGATGTTCTCAAGATGTCAGTAGTTAAGTCTCACTGTGACTTCATACACCAAATAAGTATAACCATCTGTACCTTGGATGTTTGCGCAGCATCAGAATGCGGAGACGGTCTTTAGCTTCTTCAATATTAAGTGGAAGCCTCTGGGAGAAATTCTCATCCTGATCCAACCGTGTGCAAAGATTCTGCAGTTTCATCAGAAGCCCAGATTTGTCTTGTTTCCCAACTGAAACCCAATGCACACCCCCTGGGAAACAAACTGGTGAGGAAAAGAATAATAAATTTAAGGCCTTTGAACAGCTGCCCTCCTTTGAAAGAGGAGGAAAGATTTGTTCCAATCTTCAATCTCATCACATCTTCAAACTTCTCTTGATTCAGAGTATATATGTTGCTTGTAGGGTTATTATTGAGCTTTATAGCCCAAATCTAAGAAAAGTTGCAGATGTGAAGAAACTGAAGTATGGAGTTAATCTGCTGCTTATCAGTGAAATCTCACCAAACAAAATTTCACAATCTTTATCTTATGTCATCAATGATCACTGTACAACAGTTTCTCAACGTAAGCACTCTGCACATTTGGGGCCAGATAATTCTTTGTTGTGAGGGACTGTCCTGTGCATTATAGGATATTTAACAGCCTCCCTGGCCTCTATCCACTAGATGCTAGTAGCATTTTCCCTCCCCAGTTACGACAACCAAAAATGTCTCTAAACTCTGTCACATGTCCCCTGAGGGGCTAAATCACCTCTGAGAACCACTCATGTCCAGGAACACATAAGTCACTCATTATGGTTCCCACACACTGACTTAAAAGTAAGAAGTTAGGTTCAAGTCTGGCTCTACTGCTTACTAGCTATTATATCTTTAGCAAATAATCTGTCTCATTTATTATACCAGAATAAGACTGTTTACCCCCACCTATTTCAGAGTTACTGTGAGAAATTAATAATATAAAATATGTGGTTTTGCTATGCTAAATGTAAAGGGTTATAACAGACAGGATTATTAGTGATATGGATCTGAGAGCACCTTACAAATATTAAGCTTTGAACTAGTAAGCATTATATAACAACAGACATTATTATTACTGTTACTGTCAACTTTCATCATCATTTTTGTTAATCAAGCCACAGCATATAGCATATCTTAAAATACACATTTTTACATACATATTATCAGAACCAAAAATCTTAAGCTTTCATAGACTATACGTAATCAGCTCTATATAGATATAAAAAAAGTAAGAGGGGTCCCTATGTATAAAATATGGGGAGGGACTTCCCTGGTGGTGCAGTGGTCAAGAATCCACCTGCCAATGTAGGGGACAGGGGTTCGAGCCCTGGTCCAGGAAGATCCCATATGTCACAGAGCAACTAAGCCCATGCACCACAACTACTGAGCCTGCACGCCACAACTACTGAAGCCCGTGTGCCACAACTACTGAAGCCCACGCACCTAGAGCCCATGCTCTGCAACGAGAAGCCACTGCAACAAAAAGCCTGCGCACCCCAATGAAGAGTAGCCCCCGCTTGCCACAACCAAAGAGCCCGCGCGCAGCAACGAAGACCCAATGCAGCCAAAAAAATTAATGAATAAAAATTTAAAAATAAATAAATAAAATATGGGGAACAGCAGCATTAGACCAGACCATAAAGATTTATATTATATGATCATAAATGTATAAGAAAAAGCAAAAAATAGATACAAAGATAAATGAGTTTTATTACACCAAAGGGCAACTTATTTACTGACATTCACAAATAATTAAGTACAAAAAGAAATCACTATTTTAAAATTGTAATCATCTAAAAGAAATATTTGTATATATGCACAAAGATCTTCTTATGACAGACATTTATTGAACACTTTCCTAAGAGTTCTACATATTAATCTACATTTAATCCTCAGAGTAGACTATCAAGCAGATACCATTATCATCCCCATATTACAGATGAGGAAACTGAGGTACAGAAAGGTTGAATCCCAGAGCTGGGATTCAAACATCCAGTGTCAATGATCTACTTCTAAACTATTCTGCCTCCACAGGATATTCACCACAGCACTGTCTACAACAGGAAAAAACTGGAAACAACCTGCAATGTCCATCTTAATCTCTTCTTCCACTGCAGGCTTCCAAAGCCTAAGGCAGGCCAAACTGAGGAAGAGGAGAACATTATATATAAGTGAAATTTAGCGCATTAAATAGAACTTGACTTTTTTTTTTTCCTTTGGCCACACCACGCAGCTTGTGGTACCTTAGCTCCCTGACCAGGGATCGAATTCGGGTCCACAGCAGTGAAAGCCCAAGTCTTAACCACTGGACCCCCAGGGAATTCCCAGGACCTGACACTTTAATTAGTGAAATGACCTGGATACTCTGAACCTGTACAAGGCCAGGGAAAGAATCAGGCCCAGAGAAGAGTTTAGAACAGGCAACGAAGGAAAAGAGTAAAGTTGTTTTCTTTTTTTTTTTTTTTTTGCGGTACACGGGCTTCTCACTGTTGTGGCCTCTCCCGTTGTGGAGCACAGGCTCCGGATGCACAGGCTCAGCGGCCATGGCTCACGGGCCCAGCCGCTCCGCGGCATGTGGGATCTTCCCGGACCGGGGCACGAACCCATGTCCCCTACATCGGCAGGCAGACTCTCAACCACTGCGCCACCAAGGAAGCCCTAAAGTTGTTTTCTGATTACACCCTACAAACCCCAATGCGATGGTTACGCATCCACTAAATGAACCTAGTAAAATTGCCAAGGTTTATGATCATGAATTTAAATTGGAACTCAGTTGGGTGATTTCTTCAGCAAGGAGAAAGGAAGTAATGTCTGGATGAAGCAATGGGGATCAAGAAGAATACCTATTCCATCTCCTAGCAATAGAGAAGGAATCATCTTTCACCCAAGATCAGGAGAGACCTAAAGAGTGAAGAATATATGCTGAGGAGCAATTAAATAATGGGCAATAAAAATCTAGGCCCAAACCTAAGAAGGGGCTGATGGGATAAACAGTGAGGATATTAGGGAATTAAGGGATAAGCCCTGACAGGTCAGAAAACTGTAGTGAACTCAAAAAATAGAATAGATGGAGGTAGGCAAAGAGTAGTATAGAATGTTTAACATCAAGATTTCAAAACTGGTATCGTTTCTGGTAATGCCATGGGCCGGGATCCAGCCTGTGATCAGTGAATTATATGGCTGAAGGGGAGTGAAGAAAATGGTCACTGCAGATAAAGAAGTCAAGAAACTGAGAGGCCAAGTTTTTGGAAGACGCATCCACATAGATATCAAAATTACTAAGAGTGCCAACAGGAGAAGGCCTTAAATTTATAACTAAGAACTCCAATCATCAATGAATGAGAGGGCAATAACATAACAGGGAAAGATTAGAAAAATGAACCTCAAAGGACAAAGAATTTAGCTGGAGAAGGAAGTATTAATGGCCTGGACAAGGTAACAGAGAGCAAGGACAGCATCCACCCATTTCCTGGTGCTGAAATATGTGGAACAGAAAGGGAAAAAAGTTGCTACACCACTGAAGGAGGCTATGGAGAAGGTGGTATCCTCAAGAAACTGCCCAGTTTCACATAAGGCAAGGAGGCAAATATTCTAAGAAGGGCTGATGATATAGAGGAGCTTCCTGATCACAGAGGAATCTAGAAGGTATAGCAAAGGCTTGGGAATGAGGGGAGGGGACCTAGATCAGAATTTGGCAATGAACTGAGTAGTAACTACAAGAGAATCTAAAAGATAACAAATGACCAAGAACTTCCCTGTGGTCCAGTGGGTAAGACCCCGTGCTCCCAATGCAGAGGGCCTGGGTTTGATCCCTGGTTGGGGAACTAGAGCCCGCATGCATGCCACAACTAAGAAGCCTGCGTGCCACAACAAAGACCCAGCACAGCCAAAATAATTAGATAAATATTTTTTTAAAACACAAATGACCAGAAGAAATAGAATTCTGCAGTAAGTGAGGTAAGGCAAGGCTGTGAAGCATGGATTGATTACCAGTGCCAATGTCTTAGAAGAAGGTAAACAACAAGTCCTACTCTATTCCTGAAAGCTTCCTGACGTTCTCTAGGCTTGCTTCAGCTTGAGTCAGCACTTATGAAACAGTAAATCCGTGAGGCTTCACTTACTTTGACTATGTTACTTTTAGCTATGTTCTCTGTGTATACATGATTGTAAATGCATAGGAAAAAGTTTGGAAAAACTCACTCTAAACTGTTAACCATGACTACCACTGGTGACGAATTTAGGAGAAAGAACAGAAGGGCAAATGAAAAGAACTTTACTTCTTTTTAAATGAAGATACTACAACTGTTATGTTAAAAACACAGTTTTAAAATACCTGTTGCTCCTGAAGTGTTATTTTTTAATTTGAACTTTCTATTTAAGATTTTCTAAAATCATCCCAGGATTAAAGACAAGGCAAAGAAAGTATCCTGATACAACTAGCTAATGAATTTTTCAGATTTAAATTTAAGTATCAAGCGAGGAACCAAGATGGCGGAGTAGAAGGACGTGCTCTCACTCCCTCTTGTGAGAACACCAGAATCACAACTAGCTGCTGGCCAATGATCGACAGGAAGACACTGGAACTCACCAAAAAAGATACCCCACATGCAAAGACAAAGGAGAAGCCACAATGAGATGGTAGGAGGGGCACAAGCACAGTAAAATCAAATGCCATAACTGGTGGGTGGGTGACTCACAGACTGGAGAACACTTACACCACAGAAGTCCACCCACAGAAGTCCACCCACTAGAGTGAAGATTCTGAGCCCCACGTCAGGCTTCCCAACCTGGGGGTCCAGCAATGGGAGGAGGAATTCCCAGAGAATCAGACTTTGAAGCGTAGCAGGATTTGATTGCAGGTCTTTGACAGGACTGGGGGAAACAGACACTCCACACTTAGAGGGCACACACAAAGTAGTGTGCACATCAGGACCCAGGGGAAGGAGCAGTGACCCCAGGGGAGACTGAACCAGACCTACCTGCTAGTGTTGGAGGGTCTCCTGCAGAGGTGGGGGGGGTGGGCTGTGGCTCACCGTGAGGACAAAGACACTGGTAGCAGAAGTTCTGTGAAGTACTCCTTGGCTTGAGACCTCCCAGAGTCTGCCATTAGCCCCACCAAAAAGCCCAGGTAGGCTCCAGTGTTGGGATGCCTCAGGCCAAACAACCAACAGGGAGGGAACCCAGCCCCACCCATCAGCAGACAAGTGGATTACAGTTTTACTGAGCTCCGCCCACCAGAGCAACAGC